TTCTTGCTTTAAGCAAAATTACAACTTGGGAAAGCCGTTTAAGAGCACTGAAGACCTGTGTTTCTCACCTATTGTTAGTGGGGATTTATTTTCCTTCCAATATGCTTCACATACCTTGCACAACTCTTGGTTCTTCTCACTCCCAATGGCAGAGTCATCAGCACATCTCTGCATATACTTTTCCAGCAATGCTAAATCCCATCATTTATTTTTAAACACAACTGAAATCAAAAACTTATTGCGAAAAATTCTTACCAACAGAGCTTCACCAATTGGAGAGAAGATTTAGAAATGTTTGCAACTTGTAATCAAAGTCCATTTTTATGTGAGAGGTTTTTTTTGGTCACTACTAATGATTTTTGGTATTATTACCAATTGTGAAAATATAGATACATTAATTTACACAAAATTATTTAATGATTGCGTTGTGTGTGTGTATACAGTATATATATACATATTATATATATATATATATATATATATTATATAATATATCTTTTTTTTTACTTTTGTTGTCAATGCCACTTAAAATAAATGTTATGCTGACAATTAGCACTTTAGTAGAAGTTATTTATTCAGTAAATCCAAAGGTCTGCAGCTTTCATTCTAGCATACCCATCTGAAGCAATTCAAGCAAACCTGCATGGTTCATATACAGCAACCATATATCTTCCTTACTAAAATTGGCCAGAATTATTATGTGTTTCATGTAAGACCAATACATGTCCTTTACAAAATCAAACTGATTATGGCCCCTTTCATACTAAATAGCTCACATACAACTTATAGGGGATTTTTGCGTCATATATGAATACTGTAAAAAGTCTTATATGAGTTGTACATGACAAAAAGTATGCTTTGGTGTATGGAATTAGTAGAAAACCCGATATTCATATACAAATCATTTAAAGTTCTTATATTGAATCATATGATTTTTACATGACAAACGTATGCAATGGTATTAGTAGAAAATAGCTTAAATTCATATGCAAATCATTTAAAGTTCTTATATGAATCAATGAGTTTTACATGACAAACATATGCAATGGTATATGGTATTTAGTAGAAAATAGCTTAAATTCAAATGCAAATCATTTAACCTGTTAACTGTCACCCCCCCTTTTTTTGAATAGACATGAAAATGCACATTTCGAACTTAAATGGTTGTAATTCAAGATGCTTTGGAATATAGACATATGATTGGTCTGTTTTAAAGAAGACATTTGGCAGATTTTTTAGAAGTGAAATAAATTAAGAAAGTGAAACAGAAAAAGTTCTTATAGAAGTTTGAGTTTATGGAAATGTACAATGTAACAATATTAATTATTCAATTTTACATAAAATATATATTTTCAAAACTGGGCTACTCTAAAATGTCAGAAAGATTCAAAGCCAAAATCTGAACAAGTTGTGTTTCAAATTTTAGGTTGATATCTGAAAAAATGAGCTTTCAGTAAGATTTTGTTTGAGCGCAGTACCAAACTTTTCATAGGGCACAATCAGACTCCATTACTGCCCATATAAGGGCGCCTGCATTTCCATTCGTGTTTTGAGTGATATGAACCATTATTTTCACAATTTCATACAATTTCTGAAGTAGATATCCTATTCAGAAGTAGCATGGGAAGTTTGGCAGATTTTGACATGAATTGAACCTCTAAGAAACACATACAAAGAACACGCATGCAAGTCATAGCTAGCTGCCACGTCACAAATGGTAAATTTATTATTTTTTTCTTGATATTTCAAACTTTTCAGACCTTTTTTTTCCAAAATAATTGAATTGATTCTATCTTTTGAACTTTTGGCATGAAAAACAAACTGAGGTATCTACCATTTTTCATGATTTTTCATGTTTACTGCTATTTAAAATAAAGGTCTGAACACGCCTTATGAGTATGAAAATATTCTTGTTTTTATATTGATAAATTATGGCTCCTCTGTAATATATTTTTGAAAATCAGTCACCAAATATGGGAAACTAGAGATTGTAAGCTTTCAAATGATATTATAGTTTGTCAATATTATTTAAGGTATTTACTAAGATATTATTGTTTTAAAAATATAGTGGCAAACGTCCCAACTGTGGGACGGTGACAGTTAAGTGGTTAAAGTTCTGATATTGAATTATATGCTAGTCAAATTAAAGTCATATAGGATTTATACACATTTTGTGTTAAAGTGTGTCATATGTTTAGATGACCAACATCACTTATATGAAGTTTGCAAATTTGGAAATTGTACAGTGCAGAACCTGGTTGGAGGATGTAGTGTCAAAATATCTCTGACCCTTCTCACAATCAGATTCTCAGCCCATGATAGAATAGGCCGACAAAATGATGCATAAAGTATAATGATTAATGATTGCTTTTAAAGTAAAATTAGGGATGCTCTGGGTGGATCAGCTGGAGATTAGGGTTAGCTTCACCCTCAAGCCAACCTAGGTCTATGACTTTCTTGTTTCAGACAAATAGAATCAGAGTTATATTAATAAACACCCTGACGCTTCCGAGCTTTATAATGGACATGACATCATGAGTTTTGCGTAAACATACATGCCACTTTCGAGTCAAGTGGCGTGTTATCTCGACGCATTTTGAGCTATCCTCGTGTATACGTGTATGTCTACGCCAATAATGTCAGAGTGATTCCGCGTGTCTGTACACGTCGTCAAATGTCCGAGCGAAACGAAGCAAAATGTAGATCTACATCTGGGGAGCGATCTTTTTTTTCCCAGGGTGGTAAGGGAACAGTCATAAATGCCATTAACCCCAGTGACGGTTAGGTTTAGGGACGGGGTTGAGGTAAGTCATATATTCATACAGTAATAACGTTAATTCAACGGTGTTCATAAACGCGCTGAAAAGCAATTATGCATCTTGATAGCACGCTAAAAATGGAAATACGAATTGACGTGTCATACACATGCTACTTCATGAGATCAGTCTGTAATGGAAGTGAATTGCAACCATTAGATTGAAGCTCAAAAACGTGCATCCATCCATTATATCAGAACTCTACGCGGCTCCGGGGGGTTAATATTTAAAACTTGATTAAGTAAAATAACTAGCTTCTGGCCAAATGAACATACGGATTGCACTTGAGTGTAAAGCGCAACTTATGCAACGCACTGCTGATATTTGCGCTACGGCATTATGCACTACTCTACTTCTGATGTCACAAGTTGCGTAAATTGTGCTTTATATGCATAGGCTGCTTATGGCAGTTTGGCTGGAAGCTAGTTATTTTACTTTATAAAATTTTAAAAATGGCTATTTTTTCAAACAAAAACTTTGCTTCAGAAGGCCTTTATTACCCCCCGGAGCCGTTTGGAGTTTGTTTATGATGGATGGATGCACTTTACTAAAAGATATTTAAAACACATTTCTTAATAATTATACTTTACATTTTTTTTTGTAAAGTATAATTTTCATTTCATTTCATTTTTCTGGCATTTTTTTAAAGAAAAAATGAAGTGGACGTCGAAGATCTCAAAAAAAATATTACAGCATAGTAGTGGCAAGGTGCACGAAGTCCCTTGGTTTCACCAGCGTCAGAATGAACCCCGAAATAGTCTTCAGCTCAAACATTTTATACTGTATTCCATTCGTCTTCCCCCTCAGCATACAGAGTCACCCCATTTCCCCAGTCCTGATCTCATCAGCATAACATCTCATTCACATCATGATGATAATCCAATCAGCCCAACTGATTAATTTAACTTACATTAGAGAGAACAGGACTGGCAGAACTCTCATGCTTAAAGGAGCATTTCACCCATTTCAACATTAATCTTTATTGAAAGTGGATCATTTATGCAGTCAAAATGTAAAAATAAATAAATAAATAAATAAATAAATAAATGAATGAATGAATGAAAATAACCGAAGGGTGCACTTGTATGAAAGACTACAACACCCACAATGCACCACATAGCACAGCTCAGCAAGCCACACCCAATAATCCGGAACTGCGCGCACATCAGAGAAATCATTCTTGAATCATCGACAAGGCTAACGTTAGCTGCCATGCAAAATTTCTGGTTAGTTGGCCGAGCAGGAAGAGGGACATGACAGCGGCGCAAGAGGACGGCGTGATGCCAGTGGCGTGAGTGATAATGAAAGACAAGAGACGCACCGACCGGTCTCGTATCTCTCACAGAGGAGCGGGAGCATAAACAGCAGATCGAGAGAGAAACAGGCCTGATTTTATATACTTAGTTTTTGTATTTGTTCATTTTACTATTAAAATGTTTAAATGTTCGCCGATTCCCACCTCCTTCTTCCCACAACAAACCCTGTTAACGTTATATTGGCAAACTCATTAGTGAATTACTCCTCGTTTGTATTTCTTTCTATATGGTGTATTACTGCACCTGTTCAGTCAGGAGAAACTATGATGGTTCGCATCACAATACAAACGTCGTACAAATGTGTGTATATATATATACGTATATATATATATATATATATATACACACACACACACACACACACACACACACACACTAGTATATATATATACAGTTTATATATATATATATATATATATATATAACTAGTATATATATATTCTAGTATATATATATATATATATATATATATAATATATTATAATTTTATTTTATTTTATTTTTAAAGTGTGGGTGAAATGGTAAATTTCCAATAAAAATACACACTTGTCCCAACCTATACGCAGGTGGCATTAACAAAACAAAAATAAAAAATAAAAATTGAAATTATAGAATAATAATAGACAAAAATGTCTATAAGGACACACAAGGGTTAATTATTACATCATTGTGTTGTCTGAAAGCTCTCAAGAGATGAATCAGAACATATATTTGGATGGAGATTGCCAGTGCAGGATGAGAGAATAAGGACAAATCTTTACAGCGGAGTAATTTTATTCAAAGCAGCTCACAAGTATTCAGACAGTCATTGTCATAGTTTTGCTCTAAAACTTTATGTATACAAATATGTGATTCAAATATTATGCATTGCATGAAGGTATATTTATATATATTTATATTTTTTTTAATTATGGTTGTAGTTAAAATATCTTGTTAAAGGTATGAAATAGCAAAATCTTGAGAATTTACAAAATTGTCGATGTCTAATGTCACCAAATTCTAAGCTGCCATGAACTCTGTAAACGCAAGTTTTTCACAGAATATCTCCATTGTTCATCCTGAATACTTTTTCATCATTGGACTTACAGGTATGCCTTATAGTGGTTATTACTATATATTCTTATTTGTAATATATTTTATAACTGTAATTGGCAACTCTATAGTCCTTCTGATTTTAGCTCTTCATCGGAGCCTGCACAGTCCAAAGTACATTAGTGTGTTTAACTTGGCCTTGGCTGATATTGGTGAAACTAATGCACTGATTCCTAACATGATGAAGACTTTTCTACTCGACACACAGAACATCTCCTTCAATGCTTGTTTGGCAAACATGTTTTTTGTTCACTTCTTTAGTACTATGCAGAGTCATACTCTTGTAGTCCTGGCATATGATCGCTTCATTGCAATTTGCTTGCCATTAAGATATCATGCAATTGTTAGCAATACCAGTATGGTTTTGGTTTTCTCAGCAATTTGGGCATTTAATTCTTCTGTGGTGGCCTTGATGGCGTCTTCGATCACCCGGCTTTCTTTCTGTCAATCTAATGTGATTCAGAGTTACTTTTGTGATCATGGACCAATGTATAGGTTGGCATGTAATGACTATAGCATTAATAGAATTATGGCATTTCTCATCACAGTTTTATACCTTGTAGTACCATTAATTATTATAGTCCTGTCATATCTGGGCATTTTTCTTGCTTTAAGCAAAATTACAACTTGGCAAGGACGTTTAAAAGCTCTGAAGACCTGTGTCTCTCATTTGTTGTTAGTAGGGGTTTATTTCCTCCCCATGTGCTCCTCATACATTGCAGCATGGTTGGTTTCTCTTACACCCAATGCAAGGATCATCAGTACGTCTCTGGCATATGTTGTTCCACCGATGTTAAATCCCATAATTTATGTATTAAATACATCTGAAATCAAAGACATAATCTTGAAAGTGGTTAAAAACAGATCGGAACCAATTAGAGAGAACATTTCAAAATGACCGAAATGCCTGTTTATTTATTTAAAATGTCTGTTTGTTTTTGATTGTTTTTAAAAATGGAAAAAAGAAAAATCTTTAAGAATAACTGCATGCTGAAACCTCACAGAACAATATATTTCCAGAAATGCATACTTTGAAAAAATAACTTTTGAAAGAGGAACCGAGATAAGTAATATTTTCTTTGTATTCCATTATGAACTAAAATTCTGAAAGAAATATTTGTATATATGTATAAAATACATGTAACAGTAATATACTTATTAATCTAATTATTTATTGATCAGCTTGTGTTGCTAATCAAAAGACAAATCCAACAGAATAAATATTTGATGTTTTGTGAACTATCTTTATATGTTGAGACATTTCTGTTACTTTAAACACATATTTCACTGTTATCTATAAATGTATTTTGATAGATTTTCTGCAAAATCAACTGATGAGACGTGACTAAATGAAAGAATATATCACAATGTATCCATTTTTGAATTTGTAATAGAGTGGTCCATTTCAACATGAGCATGTTGGTCTGAGATCTGCTGATGAGGCTCTTATTGCTGTTCTCATTTGGTGTTTTTTCTGTTTTTGTTTTGTTTTTCTGTACAGTAGTAAACCCAGATAGACACAAAAATACATGTGCATGTTTTAGTTTGTGTTACCCTTTTTAGAAGGCAATCAACATTATATTAGATTATATTATAATAACAATGAAAATGTAACTGTTTCGTCCAATGATATATTGTTATTATTGTTCATGTATACTTGTTTAATTTGCTTTACTTCTAGTTTACAAAGGTGTGGACGTGGTTGTTTGCCCTGTGTCTGTGTTTTTGCCTGCTGTGAGTATCTCTAGGGTTGTTTGACTTCATACAGGACTGCACAGATTAATCGGCTGCTTACTTGAAGCAATGTATGCCGGTTAGAAATTGTGTCCCACTTGAGACAGCGCCTACGCACATGTCAAAGTACCACAAGAGAGATTGGCCAAATACACTCACTGCATGGAAACAATCATGTGTCTTTCATGTTTATTCAAACACCTTCAGTTCCACTAATGTTCACAAATCTGTTTTTTATAACAGTAAAAACTATTTTTTTCTGTTGTAGTTGCGATGTTATATTGTGTCATGTTTGTCAAAATAAAACTGATTAAAAAAACATAAAGTACATAAAGTATTAACTTGAAATGTATCTGAAACATCTACGTATTTGACAAATATTGCATTTATTTCACTTCAGCTGTAGTAAAGTACAGGGACGGCTGGCAAATAGAGGGCACTAGGGCCATCAACATCAATACTGCCATATTGTATTGCCACACAACTCAGTGCAAGTTGTATAGGGATTTGCTTCAGTATGCTCATAACAGGACATCTACAAGATACAACCAAGACACTGTAGAGCAAATATAAACACAAACAATATCCCACAGGGCATGACACTTGACACATACAAATCAAATTAAAAGGAACACACCGCTCACCACGTACCTGGATGACAGTCCAGGACGCTATAGTGGCTGATGTCAGGTAGAAGTGACAATTTGGATAGGAATGCAGAGCGCAAATATGCAACTTTACAATAAATAGATAAAATAACACTAGTATGGTTCCCATAAAATATATAAAAAGGTATAATAAAAAACTATAAAGAAATGTGCAAGTTATGAAGACTCGTTTAGAGAACTTTTTTTTCCATTAGGGACTGGTCCAGGGGTTGAGAGCTGTTTAGAGATTTAATGGCTCTGCAGTATGCTATTGAGGAAGCGGTTTTTGTCCTTTTCTTATCCTTCTTCATGATGGGGAATATGGAGAAAAGAGAGTTGGCAGGGTGAGTATCATCGTGAAGGATCTCAAGGAAGGATCGGAAGTCAACCACTAGCTCCTTAGTTTTGGAGACATTTAACTCTAAATTGTGGTTGGAACACGATTCAGTCAATGAGAGGACCTCTTTCCCATAGCCCCACTATAGTGCTGTATCATCTGCAAATTTAAACATTTTAACAGAATTGGTGTGTAAAACTCAAGCCTGTCTTATGCTTCTGCGTCGAATCGACGGCGTACCCCCGCAGACCCCTATCCGTCGACGCGAACCCCTCTCCGACCCCTCCGCCGTAGCTCGACGTGCACCTCCAAAAATTTGTAACTATGCGTCGAGGTGACGCAGACAGCAAGGGCTTTGATTGGTCAGATTATACATAATTTCAGGAGTGTAGCTTTTCCGATTTCCCCCTCCCGCTATTAGCGCTATTTTTAACATTTGCACCCTCGTTCTGATAATTATAATACTCTTATAAAGAAAGTAAATAAAGAATTAATCTAAAAATAAACTGTTTTTTATTTCATTGTTAATATGTCTATATTCTTTTCTTTCTTTTTTGCTCGCAATAAACTTCAATCAATCAATAAATTAACGTTTGTTTTGAAACAGTTTGTTGTTTATTTTCAATACAATGTTCACGGTTACATCATTGATAATAGACCTTATTCAGAGCAGCGCCATGACAGGTATGAAAGTGAGGTTGTGAGGGATAGACTTACCGTGTTTCCAATGGCATCCGCTGTAAAAAGCTGAATAAAGCGGCTAGATTACTTACAATTTTAAACAGCTTATTGTCGGGAGTTCTTTGTCAACTGACATTTCTTGGAAAGATATTTTTCCAGTGTTTCATGAGCAGAACAATCCGAAAACACATTAAATAACAGAACAGCCCATTGAAGAGATGCAAGTCTAACCCACACAGCCTCGCTTTTATTCTCATTAAAAATCAAAGATGGCGCTGCCGTGAATAAGGCGTATACAGTACTAACCAAGTCTGCCACGGGACACATTATCCTGCATAGCACAGTTCCATGTGGAGACTGAAAAAATCCTTCAAGTCATTTCGAACAGGTATCGTTATGGCAGCTCGGGTGGAACCTTTATTTAACTGTCTATGGGTGGAACGAGCCCTGGACATCGGTGTTGATTATGTGGGGATAAACTTTGTCACTTGAGGAGGCACATGAGCAACACTGCTAACAAACGTCACGTAAAGACTCATCGCTCCTCGTTGTTTTCCTCGCTATATTTGTGACCAAAGGGTATAGCTCTCCACATCAAATTTACCTCTCCAGTCGAAGTCTCGTAAACTGGCTCCTCGTTTAGTCACACCATTTCGTATTGTTAAGGTCATCAGTACAGTCGTTGTTAAGATCTCTTCCTTCTAATCTTCATTATGTCCACCCCGTTTTTCACGTCTCCTGCATAAAACCGACCATTCGTGCACCCTCACGTCCATCCATTGTGTTATGTCTAAGTCCTGGTAATCATGAAGACAAGAAACTTCTTACTTCATCAAGGTTTATTCAAACCCACAAGCAAGGCAACAGTGCCACACGGTCACATAATTAGACAGCAGGTGCAACAACCTCCAGTCTTACTCTACACCTTTTATAGGTAACATCATGGGAACTACAGCGCCATCTCCTGTCAAGTACAAACACTACACATCGCTCCCATTCGTGTTTAGGGGTCTCCGGTTTACAAGGTCCTGCTTCTTTTAGCCCTGTTTTTTTTCTCTTTGCCAGATTATTTCAAGAGTAATGCTTATGAGACCTCTGAGCACTTAACTCTCATTCCTGTCTTGTCTTGTCCTGTCCTGTCCTGTCCTGTGCTCTTTTTGGAGACTGGTCAACCTCTCAGTATTTGCTACTAAGCTCTGCTTGGTACAGAGTACCTGTCCAGCACCTGCCCATCTTCGACCGATGAAGCACCTCAACCAGACTGATCTCATGAAGTAGCGTGTGTATGACACGCCAATTCGTATTTCCATTTTTGGCGTGCCATCAAGACGCATAATCGCTTTTCAGCGCGTTTATGAACGCCGTTGACTTAACGTTATTACTATATATATCAATATATGACTTACCTCAACCCCATCCCTAAACCTAACCGTCACTGGGGTTAATAGCATTTATGACTGTTCCCTTGCCATCCTAGCTCATCCTGTAGACTGTCAACAGTTGTGGTTACTCAATATATCATGCCATTTAAAGGATTATGGGGTTTTATTTCAAACTACAGCAAGACTCAAGCATGTTAGTGTTGTCAAAGAAAGCAACTGTTTCCATGAAAACCCATGCAGCAATGAGACTGGAGAAACTCCAAACAACACGTGATCCTGAGAGGAGGTGCCTTTGGTTTTGGAGAGTGATGATAAACCGTGTCTTTCTCGTTGTCAGATGTATGGACAGAGAGAAAGACAATTTAATTTGTCATACCTATGGCATACCTCTGGCATATGCACACAACAGATTATTTTTGTTTGTAATACAATTGGTGATTCAGTAAAACTTGTTCAGTTTGGTCAATCAAACTCAAATTAATGCAAATTGAATAGACTGTGCTATTGACATCTAAATAGTTTCCACAGAGGTATGTACTGTATGTGAACTATCATTTTATCAATCTAATTTGTACTTTATAAAGACAGTAATTGTTAAAAATGTTTCTATGTTGCTTTATTTTCCCTTGAGATTAAAATGCTTTTGTAAATGGCAATGCTTTTTAAAATGTTTGTTGTATGAGGTAATTGTGAAGCCGTATAGAGTCATGATCTACACCAATGTCACCGTCTTTACTGAATTCTACCTGCTGGGATTTCCAGGACTCCATCCACAATATTATGGAGCTGTGGGAACCCTTTTGTTATTTGTCTACTTGACACTGGCAGGTGGAAATATCTTTATTATTTCTTTTATTTCTTATGAGAGAAGCCTTCAGAAACCCACCTATTTAATCTTCTGTAATCTTGCTGTGTGTGATCTTGCTTTTGGAACTGTCACGCTGCCTAAAGCCATTGCAAAATACTTTTTTAATAGCAGTGAGATATCATTTTATAGTTGCTTAGTGCAGATGTTTTTTGTTCACTACTTAGGGAGTATCACCTCTTTCCTGATGCTATTAATGGCCATTGATCGGTTTGTTGCAGTGTGTAACCCATTGAGATACTGTGTCCTTATTACGAACAAAACTATTGTTATGGCATGTGCTGTGATTTGGGCAATCTGTATATCATGGATGTCAATCATTGTTTTGAATGCCTTCAATGAACCCTACTGCTCTTCTAATGTAATAACCCAGAATCACTGTGACCAAAATTCAATTATCAATCTGTCTTGTGGAGATGTAAGGCAGAAAAAGTTTGTTTCATTTTCATGTGCTATGTTTGTTCTTTTGGGCCCTTTAATTTTCATTATATTTTCTTTTATGGCCATCATCACATGTGTTTTTAAAATCTCAGACATTCAAGCCCGATATAAAACATTCTCAACTTGCACTCCTCAGCTTCTTATCATTTGCCTGTACTATGTGCCCAGATGTGTTGTTTATGTGCATGATGTGATAAATGTGAACATCTCACCTGGCATCCGGGTTATGTTAGTAATGTGGTACAGTCTGCTCCCACCTGTTGTCAATCCCATGATATACTGCTTCAGAACCAAGGATATCAAAGATGCATTAAAGAAAAAAATTAGAGATATGAAAGTGAGCATATGAACAGGACAGCATATGAATACACATTTGTAAAAAGAAAAAAATAAATAAATTGCTTTATTACAGTAGTAATACTGATTTTTTTGTGTGGCTGTGCTAGCCCTTTCAATCTGAATCATTAACATATTTGTGAAATTATTTTATTTAATAAAATATGCTAAATGTAATTAATTTTGCTGATAAGTATATTTTATTGCCCTCTAAATGAACATCAAAACACATCAAACTATTTTATTTTTTGCATAAGGTTTAGCAAATGTTCATTTAATAGACTGTACTGTTCACCTGTTGTAAGATATTCCAAACCATTTAGAATTGAAGCTATGGTTTGGTTATAATTTATAAATATTGCAAATGTGAATTTTTCTTTCTAAAAATAGTACAACATTACATGAAATAACAGAAATGTTATCTTAAATGTTAATAGTCCACATGGCTCAAGCCATATTATCTGATATTATACAGTACAATTTAGTAAAAGATTAATTTTACTAAACTCATATTTATTCTGATTCAAACAATATAGAAAGTGCTAAAATTTGACAGTTCCTCTGTGTCTTTGTTCATTAACTCTTATTTGGACATTGCTTGCATTCAGTTGTGTGTTTAGTTCCTGTTTTTTTTTTACCATAGTTTTTTTTTACCATAGTTTTTTACCATAGTGGTTACCATAGTTATTCATTATTCAATTGATTAGTGTCTGACCTGTTACTCATCATCCTGTTGATTTATACTAGATTTATTTCTACCTCTGTCTTCTTTTCTTTGTCTTCTTTTAATGATGTTTTATTAACAAAGTTCGGGAGGAGCACGTTCAGATAATTAAACACATGTGGAGCACATTCAGGTTATCAAGCCTAATTAGACATGAGTGGAGCACACTCTGTTAATCAACCCAATCAACAAGTTAGAGGTGTGTATATATACACAACAAACTTACCTCAATTCATTGACAGTTTAACAGCATCCCTCCACCACCCCATCTCCTCACTTCTTGTCCTAAATACTCTTACAACAACGGGGGGAGCACTCTGGATTCGGGCAGAAATCCGAGCTCGGAGCCCTCCCCCCGGACAGCACGCCAAATACGCATAATATTTTCTCTGTTTAATTGATGTAAGTGTGAACTCGTGAAACTTTTCATGCTGGCGTTTCTCGCTAATGTTCCTTGAGTTTATTAAATGTGATTTCATCATTATTCTGTGTGTCAAGCCTTGTGAATCTGGATTATCATCATCTCTAGCCAGCACATGACAACGAGATGGAGGTGAAACAGTGGTGTAGTCTAGTATTTTGTAATGAGTATACTGTGATATACCAGCACCCCCCGGAAGTACGGCGAGAATCAGCAGTGTGTCAAACTACGCGAGCGGATTAAGCAACACAGACAGAGAAAGTTATTTCAAAAAGATAACTTTATCAAATGTTATCCAGCTACCAGATCTGTGTAGCCTACTATATTGGAGTGGATTGAAGACGTTAGCAGATGGCCAAATATACAGTGGTGAGATATATATTTAGTTGAGAAAGCGTGTATACATCTCAGAGAAATTACGAGCATACAAATCACTGGATGCTTGAATACGTTGTCTGTGGTCATGTACAGAACGCCAAATACTATGACATAGACTCGACTTTTGTGTGTTGAAATCAGAAATTCTTCCTAGTCAAAGACAAGGACACAAGACAACCATGTATGAGGCTTATAATCAATATTACCCAATATTACCCATCTGTTTTCCTTCTTTTTTCCGTACATTCACTTTCATTTATTCTTATTCTTCACCCAGACCTACATTCATCCTTGTCCTTACATTTTATGTTGTTATTGATTGCTGTGTGTTGACGCACTTTTGTTTAAAGTTTTATTTTATAATGCTATAGTACTTTAATAGTAACTATGTTGCTTGCATACATTGCAATTAAACTACTAATAACAATTAGTATTGAAGTTGAATACTAATTCAAGTAAATGATGTTGAAATGCACTGTGAATGTAGACATGAGCATTTTTTTTTATTATGTCCTCGCTCCAATCAACACGTTTAATCGCATTCAGCCGGTTCTTCTGAAACGGCCATGATCCTGTCAGAATCCTAAAAAACCTTGGTGGAATCAAGGGGGTAATCCATGGACCGGAAGTTGAAGCCTCGCGGGAGCTGACATCTTGTAGCAGAACTTCACTTGCGTTAGCGTTCCCATTGACTCCCATTCATTTTGGCGTCACTTTGACAGCGAATAACTTTACATATGAGGCGTTTGAAGACCCCATTTGTCCTTTATTTATTTCTAAAGAAACACGTCAATGTATAAAAGGCTCCATTACCTTGTAGCTTATGTTATGGCCCCGTAGAAGCAGTTTTAATGAAAGTAGGCTAACGATTGAGTCATACCCACGCGACTCTCTGTCGCACAGTAGAGAGATTACCGACCGTATGGACAGGAGGAGAAGCTTGCGCGCAATCGGGGAAACGTGGAGGCAAAATGACTATCTAATAATTAATCAGAATACCTTGCAAAAGTGTCTCCTGCTCCTCACTCATGGACAGCTCCTATACTCACACTCTCCGTCTCTGCATGTTTCGGAAGGGAATGATTCAGATTTCCCATGCCACAGCCACTAGAAGACAGACGGTTTGCTCTTGTCACATCTACGTCGTCAAGCTCTGTTTGAGTCTGCGCGTCAGGGTCGGAAGTGCTAAAAAATTGTCAAAAACGGGCTTCAATCGTCTCAATGGAGTTCCAATGAGATGGCTCTGTCCATTTCTTTTACTGTCTATAGGTGGAATATCGATTATTGCAACTGTGAACGCAACCAGACATTTTGATGCTGGGAAACCGCTTTGATAAACTTTCAGAGTTGTTAACACGATAGAGCCAGTGGGAAACAACACCACTTCCGTTTCCAAAATGTGCGCACAACTATTTGATCATGTGGGCTGTAAAAGGGTGTGCATAAGCAGAATAACCCAATAACATGCAAGCACATGTTCAGCATTCACTCTTCTTCTTCACTCTTTTACTTCAGCATGTATCTCTTAGCTAAGGCGCTTGAGTCCCACCTAGTGGATTATTAACGTAAGGATGCCTATCACAGACACTTTGTTGGCTACATAGGCCCTATCGAGATTTGATACAGTGTATCATCACTTTTGATTTATTCATTCAAAATGGACAAATTGCGTGACGTTCCACTCAGTAGGCTTTACATTTGTTGCTGGATTCCCCGATTCGATCCGTGTGGCAGCGCAAACACAGACGTCACGGCGGGCGGGGTGAATTTATGAATGAAAGTTCTTTCACAAAACGATGTTGTCACGAATCCTCACGCTTTTTAAAGTGGGTATACGGAAATCTTTGCCATTTTCTAGTGGGTATATATACGGCGTATACCTGCGTATCACGTAAACTACACCTAAGTTGAAGAGTGAGAGAAATGGCAAATCCTTCTCCACTGAACTTTCCCTGGCAGACAGTGAGAATGAAAAAAATAAAATAAATGTCCACAACACTGCTTTAAACTCCCATATTTAATTTAAAGGCAATGTTTGGGTCAAAATGTTGCCTATATATTAAATATAGGAGTTTAAAGTGTTGCGGACATAGCCTACTTTTTGTTTTTCAGTGGGTAGACGCCCTATCGACCCGTCACCTGCTTCGCTCAGTATCTGTTTGGCAGGTGCAATGAGTTGTCAGCACATTTAATTAATCACATCTAACTGAATATCGAACTGATTTTCACACTTTTTTTTGCTGCATAGGTCAGCTATCATACAGGACACAGGATATTTTAGTCACAAAATACAAGCAATAGAACGTAAATGTTAAATCTTAAATCTTACTTGTGAAAAGTAATTCCCAACTGATAGTCAAATCAAGTCACAATTATTTATATAGTGCTTTTTACAATAGGCCTACAGATTGTATCAAAGCAGCTTCACAGTGATAACATGAAAATAATACAACACAGATCATTAATATTGTTGAATATTAAATCTCCCCATAACTAAGCAAGCCAAAAGCCAAGGCAACAGTGGCAAGGAACCAAAACTCCATCAGGTCACTGAATGGAGAAAAAAACCTTGGGAGAACACAGGCTCAGTTGGGGACCAGTTCTCCTCTGGCCAATGAAGGAACAAGGATTACAAAACAAATTGGATCGAAACTATAAGAGAATTTTCCATTTCCATCTGTTTGTAAGTCGAAGTAATCACGCCGGTTTGGAGACGAGATGTTGAGGATCAGTGCCGATGGCTGTCGTGTCGATGAGGCCAGTGCTTAAGGATGGGTCAGGATGGGTCTAGGCACAGGTCCACCATAGAGGGTCCCTCGGGATTAAGAGCTCACTCAAGTACTGCGGAGCTAAACCATTTAGTGCTTTATAAGTAATCAGCAATATTTTAAAATTTATACCATGTTAGACAGCCAATGCAGGGTTGACAGAACCGCGCTAATATGGTCATACTTCCTGGTTCTGGTGAGAACTCGAGCTGCTGTGTTTTGGACTAGCTGAAGTTTGTTTATTAAGCGTGCAGGGCAACCACCCAGTGCCTTGATGTCATGAACGCATGAACGAATTGTTCCGCATTTGTCAATGAGAGCATATGACGTAATTTAGATATATTTTTAAGATGGAAAAATACGGTTCTACAGATACTAGACATATGACTTTCAAATGAGAGATTGATATCAAAGAGCACACCCAGGTTCCTTACCGACGATGAAGACTTAACAGAGCAGCCATCGAGTGTTAGACAGTATTCTGTTACGTGTGGAAGTTTTTTGTCCAATAATTAGAATCTCTGTTTTTTTCAGAATTTAGTAGTAGGAAATTACGAGTCCAATTTTTTATATCAGCTATGCATTCCGTTGATTTGAGCAGGAATATGCTGCACAGTGCTCTGGCATCTACTGCTACTATGCAACGCAATAGGAGTATGACCATTTTATGATGGTGGCTGCATTCTTGCGCCCAGTGGCCAATAACTGCATGATGTCTATGCTACCATCAGGTTGTCGCTTTAGAGCTCCTTTGGTCAAAAAGAAAGCTTACAGGAACTCTTTTATTCCTATTGCTATATTTTAAACAAGATCAAAAAGTTTTATTAGTATATTGGGCTTGAGCCTTTATTTATTTACATAGTGTAAGGCAGGCCTATTTTTGTCTTCCTTGTATCTATTGTATTTTGAGATGTGTGTGTGTTTGTGTGATTGTACTGTGTATATGTGAGCCTTTTTAACCAAAAACAAATTTCTATCACTGGTTGATAGATCATTAAGTTTTTTGAATTTGATAATGTTGACAGTGAATACTTATATAAATAAATACATTACATCTAGGTTTATGTGCAACAAAACTGCTCATTCCACCCCCTACTGTATATTATAAAATCTATGTTCTGTTGGGGGAGAGGGTTGTTAAGTTTATGGGGAAGGGGGGGTATATCAAGTGTGAGCATTTAAAAGCCAAAGCAAACTTGTAATCATAACATAACTGAGGACACTCTGACCTGTGCTGTAAGTATGTCTAGAAAAAGATCATGAGCCTGTTTTGTCTTATTCTATTTGTAAATATTGTGTTTGTAAATTCCGCACAATAAAAAAATATGATCTAAGCTAAAAGTATTAATGTCTATGCTAAAATCATAGAGCAATGTTCAATTTTTTTTATCTTTATGTAGGCATGTTCTGATTAAAAATTCAAATATTGCCATTATGTGTGTGTTTGGATTGCAAACATGCTGCAGTTAGTTGGAGTCACTTTCCTGCTCCTCAGCGAGTTTGTGTATATAAAGAGTTTTACGATGCTATTTTACTTTTTATTTTGCCAGATGGGGTCGAGCAGCAATGATGGAACCTACAAAAATACAAACGGCACAACAATGATTACTGAGTTTGTTCTACGAGGTTTTCCTGGCCTCCCTCCCGAGTATTACGGATGTGTAGGAGCTTTGTTTTTCGTCTTATACCTCCTTCTTGCTACGGGGAATATTTTCGTGATTGTCTTTGTGATGTGTGAGAAAAGCATTCAGAAACCAACATACCTAATATTCTGTAACCTCGCAATGGCAGATCTTGCACTTGGAACGACCACCTACCCAAGAATCATTGCAATGTACTGGATGTTAGACAAAATCATATCATTCAACACCTGCTTGACGCAGATGTATTTTGTCCATTTTCTTGGGGCTACAAATTCATTTCTCATGGCACTGATGGCTCTTGATCGATTCATAGCTATTTGCAATCCTCTCAGATATCATACCCTGATTAAAAATTCAACTATTGCCATTATGTGTGCATGTGTTTGGATAGCAAACATGCTGCAGTTAGTTGGAGTCACTTTCCTGCTCCTCAGTGTGAATTTCTGTGGGTCAAATGTCATAGCCCATTGCTACTGTGATCACGTGTCTTTAAGCAAACTGGGATGTGGAGATTTAACTACCATGAAAGTCACATCTGTAGTCGTTGCCATGGTTGTTCTGTGGGGTCCTTTAAGTTTTATCTTATTTTCTTACATCTCTATCATCATCACTGTGTTGAGAATGTCAAATTCAGAAGGACGTTATAAAGCCTTTTCCACGTGCACTCCACAGTTACTGATCATTTGTTTGTATTATCTACCCAGAACCTTTGTGTATATGACACATTTTGCTGGCTATGAATTTAGTGTTGACATCCGCATTGTGGTCTCCTTGATGTATAGTCTCATACCTGCTGTTATTAACCCGTTTATATATTGCTTCAAGACTAAAGAGATCAAAGAGGCAATAATTAGAAAAATGAAGATAAATCAGGTTGGAGTCAAAGGAAAGTTAAATCTTAAATCTTAAAAAGAATCTGGTCCAGAAATAATTATTCCGATACAGTGACAATGAAACTGAAACACTGGCCAATATAGTGTTGGAGGTTTCACCACCATATGCATGACATGGTGGCCAATCTTATAAAATATAAATACAAATACTATATTTAATTTCACAGATACTCTTTTTTCACCTTTTTAATAAGATATTTGTATCAATGTAAAGCACATTGGTTAAGTTTCAGTTGTTTTAAACTGTGCTATACAAAATATATTTGAGACATTGAAATTTATGTTAAATGTACAATAGTTTTTATTAAAATTTTAAACTCTGTGATTGCACATGCCTATCTTTGTTTGATCCCTCAATTTGTCTCTATGTTTGTGCTTTTAAAAACTTATGAGAATTAAGCCTTGAATTATGGGTTTTGTATAGCTTTGTATAGTAAAAAATCTCTCCCTGTACACACAAAGATCCCACATGCACACACTCTGCAACAAGACTAACAATCTATTGTTATTTATTGCTATTATTGTAACGATACAAAATTATAATACCATAAATGTTTGGTAATGGAAATAAAGACTTTGCTTTCCCCCATGGGAAATTTACTGCAAAATGTAGCAACAAACAAATGTGTGATTATATAGTGTTTATTTTATTGAAGGATGAAGCTGACTGAAAACAAAATGACAAAAAGTGCATTAATTGAGTGCTCTACCTGTTGAATGCTGAATCAGGTAGAGCGACCTCAACCAAGTACAACAATTTAACTTAAAAAAAAACATGATTAGAAACATTAAGGTTCTTAAAATACTTTATAAAGTAAACTTCACAGTTAATCTCCAGACATACATATATTTTAAAAACTAGTTTAATAGCATATTTTTATGAATGAAAGCCAGTATCACTGATACCATGTGTCCCTGACACTACACTCTAAAAAACGTTGGGTTGTATTGTGTACCCAAAAATATTGGGTCGTTCTGTTGGGTTATTCGGAACATTTATACGGTTGTTTATATTACAACGCAGCCCGTTGGGTTGAGTTTCAAATTTCAAGGGTTGACCGCCGCAGCTGACAGAAGATACATGTGTGAGTTATTATTAAACTAGCCATACATATTGTAAACGTTGTTTTTTTCGTTGTACGTGACTTTCAGCTCTTATAAAGTATTATTTCCACTTTTTTTAAAAAATTTTCGGCCAATTAACGTTATTTCCATGTTTATATCTCCCCTGTTGACTGGTTTTTGTCCGCTATCTGCGACTATACGACATAAAGCAATAAATATAGCTAGCCAATTTCGAATTCGTACGAGTGATTAAAAAGTCGCTAATTCCTAATAATTAATACGACCTCACTCGTACAAATTCGTACGATTTGTCTAAACCAATGTGATGGGTAGGTTTAGGGGCGGGGTCAGGGGTAGGTCATTCGTACGAATTCATACAAATTGGCCAATTCGTAAAATATGTACGATTTAGCAAAAATCTTACTAATTCGTACGAGTGAGGTCATACGAATTGTTACGAATTAGCCACCTCGTAAAATTCGTACGAATTCTCGTGAGATCGGGTTGGAAATACTCTTCCTAACTTTCTATGTTCTTTCCAATACTTTTTGGTAAAGTTATATTTCCGACGCACTCGGCTTCAAGACCCAGCTGAAGCCTGGTCCATCCATCCAGTGTTGCAGTCACTGACAGGAAGAAGGTAACGTAATTCTGTGTTATAAATGCCTACATTATAGCGAAAAAATGTTTACTTGGGCTATCCCAACTACAGTGTGAATTTAAAATACTACAAAGTGTTAAACTAGGGTAAACACACGTCCTCTTTTTCCCGGACATGTCAACTTTTTGGACCTAAAATAAACGAGTCCGGCCGGGACGCCATTCATTGTGTGTTTTTTTGCATTGCTTTAACGTTAGATGCCGCTTTCTCGCACCATTGGTCGGTCGGTTATGTAGGCCTACGTAACGCAAAATATTGGTCAAATTGCAGCACGTCTTGTCAACAGTGGGACATAGCTCCTGAACTGCGTTAAAAAAAGTCCAAATGTAAATTCATTAACGATTTTGAATATACAGACACTGAACTGCAAGAAATGGAAGATGCTGCAACACAACCGCAGTCCCAAGCTCTTGCAAGACAGAGAGCATTGGAGAGCTGGTTCAGTGTCTGTATATTCTGGTTCGAATAGGTAAGTCTTCATCTACGTCGAAATCAGCAGACATATTTACGAATTAAAAAGCTTATGTACAGCGCGCGTCTTCCCTTTGCTTGCAAACAGAAACGTTTGTGCTTCCGGCTATATCAGCACGTCATCTTATACGGTAGGTGGCGGTAATACTCCTAAGCGGTGAGCAGCCGGTAACAAGAAGTAGTCGAAGAAGAACGTCCTCATCTCAGTTCTCGCACATGCGTTCTGGAAATCTCTTCAACTCTCATCTCAGGCCCACAAGGAAGTAATGGAATAGTCAAATAAAGTTGTTATTTATGTGTTTTTTTTCGCACAAAAAGTAGTCTCGTGGCTTGATAAACTTATAGTTGAGCCACTGTAGGCACATGGGATATTTAAACATTTTCTTTAATGACTTTCTGGGCCGTCAAGTTTCATTCCCTTAGCCAGCCTATGTAGGACTGATCCACCTCTCAAATTTAATAAAAAATATCTTCATTTGTGTTCCGAAGATGAACGAAGGTCCTACGGGGTTGGTACAGCATGGGGGTGAGTAATTAATGACTTAATTTTCATTTTTGGGTGAACTAACCCTTTAAAAACATCATTACAAGCTTACCACTTTGAATCGAGCAAAGGCAAGCAGATAGTTTTGAACACTTCCTGGTTATGTGTATTATCAAATATGTATTTCGGATCATTTTTAACCCAAAAAAGATATGGACTGCAGTTTTACATAACTGTACACAAAATATTGATTTGACTGAGTTTTAATATTTTATTAGCTCACCAAACGCAAATCTGTTCCTAGCAGGTGTATAGCACTGCTGACTTCAGTGACCCGGATGAGCCTGTGTTGATGAGCGGTTGTTATCTGGGAATAACATTCTGCTGGATGGCGCGATTGACCAATCAGAATCAAGGATTCCACAGGCAGATGTAATGTTAGAGATATGACAACAGATGGCACTAATGGGACAAGATCATTAAGCTCCTCAAACACTGTGATATTAAGCCTGTTTTAGGGGGGAATTCTCAAGGAGATTTTAAAGCCCACAAAACAGTTCATTAATATATTTTTTAGAGCAACTACGGGTAAAACATATCAACATAATGTTATTTTTGGTCAAGTTTGGCTAAAAGTGAAGCCCCTTTAAAATAAGCCCAGCAACGTCCGTGTTTATACACGAGATAAAAGCAATATTCATAATTCAGTCACTATTGGTAAATTACAATAAGTTTAAATAATATATTTACAGTTTTATAATTATATTTCTTAATGAATAAATGATTCACCAGTATTTCTGGTCAAGTATATAAAGTACGTACAAGTACTGACTAAATAATAAAGGATGTTGTGAATGTTGTTTTAACATACTTTCATATGATTTCCTCTTGATCACTTTGAAAATCACAATCAGCTGGCTGAATAGTCGGTAAGCGGGCTATGTCCTCGAACACATCTGCATAGGTGCTAAAGTGAACACCTAGATTTAGGAGATTCTCTAGCTGATTGATCCTGCCGGAGACAGAGGTGTTGGGGAGACTGTGGACGGAGGGGGATGTAACCATGCCTCTGAAGGGTGAAGGGGCCATTAGTATAAACTGTCCTCTGGACAACTCTGCAGCTGAAACAGAGTCAAACAAGAGTCAAATAAAAACCAAACACATGTGGTTCAATATTTGTCATAATCAAACAATGCAGTGCATTCACATTTTATATTTATAAAATATAATTTGTGTCTTAATATTTCGTTTGAATAGTCAACAAAAAGGTCTTTCTTGTTTCCTAAAGCACAGTGTAAAATGTAGAAGTGGTGTTGAACGGATGTTACATGGCCACTAGATGGCGCCAAATCTTCAGAATGCCTCTGACAGCCTTTCTAAAACATGAGGATTAATTATTCAAATTAAAATCCCATATCAATATTTGCTGAGAAATATTGACACACTTTTACATTTTAATTTGTAATTTTCTGAAAATAGAATTGTATTTTTTTATTTATTAAAATTTTAACCGGAAATTAAAAATATTTTTAAACAGAAATTAAAAATAAATGATCATTTAGTTCATTGTTTTTCTTCTGACCCATATTAATTTATATATATATAAACTCAATGTATATTTATATTTAATTAACTAAATTAACAATTTTAGAAAACCTTATTTAAATATTTTTTATACATTGAGGTTTAATAGAAAAATAATTTAAATAAATGTTAATGTAGTTAATTATATTTAAAAAATCATATTAAAAACAACACATTTATCCTTTTGACCCATGTATAAGTCCTGTTTTTCTTCAGCCTTAAATGACAACAATTCCTTTCATACCAAGACACAATGTCTCTCTTTTCTTGTTTGTGTCACATACATACATCATGTGTATTATTATCATCATTATCATTATATTACGATTATCATAATCGAAACTGCCAGTGTGTCCTTGCCTTCAGGTGGATGTTCATCTTTGTCATGTGAGCTGACAAGGGACAGTTCTCGCTCACAGTCAAACTCTGAGCCGGTGAAGGAGCAGTGACTTTCACTCTCTGATGACGTCTCTGTCGCCCCGCTTCTACATGGCTTTATGGGACACTCTCTGAAATTGTGATGAGGGTATCCCTTGTGGTCCCATGGGGTGTTCAGCTTCTCAACCTCATCTACTGAGAGATGCTGTGGAGGGCCTGTCAGATCAGGAGCCAATTTTCTCTTGAAGAACAGGTGGGACTGACGTTGCAACTGGTTAAAATCACCTCTAGATATTTTCTGATGAAGTTTAGGAGATGGATCATGATTAGTTTGAGGTTGAGAAAATTTTGGATTGCCATTTGCCTGATCTCCACGTTCATCCTCCTTCTTCATCTCTGTGTTCTTCAAGTCTGAGTATGTGCTGTCAATCTCGTAGTACTCTAGTTCACTCCCTCCAAAACCCGAGACATGACAAGAAGGCCCATTTTCAATACAACTTTCCACTCCTTGCATTAAATCCTTTGGTTTTGTCAAATCCGGTTGTTTGCTGGCCCCATTTGAGACGTTCTGATGAGACTCATCAGCAGGACCTAAACTAAATGCCAGGTTATCTGTTCCGTGCTGTTTGCTTGGTGGCATGAGGTAGACATGACTCCTCTTTTCACCCTCACAAAGTTTTCCTTGTCTCCTGAGGAAAATACATAGCACCAGAATCAGCAGAATGAGGATGATGGGAAGAACGATGGCCACTATCCATAAGGGGACGCTGTTTTGAGTTTGAGAACAGGGCTCGCTGTGGATGACATCAGATGAACAGGATCCACACGGAGACCCGGACACGTTGTGCAGACAAATGCACCAGTAGTCTTCTTTGGAAGAAGATCCACAGTCACTATCGTTCCAGCAGGGCTCAGATAGACACGAATCCTTGAGGCATGGAGTCAGAACACAGCGGTTTGTAGAAACGCAGAAGGTTTGGAAGACAGATGGGTTGGAGCTGGCCTGGACTATCTCATTATAGCCGCTGAAGGACAGGAGATGCCCGTTGAATTTGATGTATTCCACACACCCTCTAAAACCTGGAAAGACAAGAAAAGCAACATAAGCCGCTAAATAAAGGGGTTGGACAAAATAATGTAAACACCCATTATTATAGGGGTTAATATAATGTGTGTGCAACAAACATTGTTATTATTGATCTTTTTATATTTTATTGATCTTTTTGTTTATATTCTCTAGATCAGAGTGGTTTCCAGAAATTTTCGTCAGCGAAGAAGCATAGAGGGCAAAAGTCAAAAGTGAATAATAGGGATCGTCGAACACTAAGAAGGATTGTGTGTCCACACAACACAAAACAACTGCAGCAAAGTGACAGCAAACCTCAATATTTCCCCTCAAGACCATTTTTCAAAAAAAAAAAAACTGACCACAGAAAACCTCATAAAGCCATCATCAATGAAAAAGCTGCAATTGCTTAATATTTAATCTCAGACAACACTGCTAAAATGTAAAAAGATATTTTCTCAAAAGCATCGTAGGCCTAAGTAGATCGTAGAACCACTGCCACCAGTTACAGTCTTTAGTGTCCCGACTTATTATGAAAAAAAAAATCATGTTTGTCCTTTATTTCATCTTTTCTAAAATGTCTTTATTGCTGAGCGATAAAGTGAGAAGTAGTCTTCTGTCAAGCGAGAAGGTTAGTCAAACACAAAATCTTCTTCTGCTAAAATCTTAGGCTATATAATGTTGTTGTCATATATATACTTTTATGATTGGGGTGGGGAGGAGAGTGGCTGTCTTTCCTGTATTCTACTCTGAGAAATCTGGTCACCCTAATATTATTGAACTACAGTGGGCAGTTTTGGAGAGAAGAATGAGAAGCAGATTTCCTCCTTCAAAATCCCTGAAACAACTGGCAGATGTTCCGATAGACGTCATGCAACTGGAGACTATTCAAAAGTTTGATTCATCAATTCTAATAAACTGTACTAAAACACCTAAATGAAGATATTGCCTATTTCCCAGGTGTTCACATTATTTTGTCCAACCCCTGTATAAGGGTTTTATGATCAAACTAAAAAACAAATAAACACGAATAAAAATCATGAATAAATTAATTGAAAGAAGAAATTAAACAAAACTAAACCAAATTTAAAATACAACTGAAAATAAAATAAAAAATAAACTGTTTAAATTGTATACTATAAAAAAAAAAATAATATAGTACTGTAAAGCATGTTTAAGTGCAGTACTTTATAATCAACAAATCAGGGGCAATCTAACCTAAGTCCTGGATCGTCTCTGGGAAACCTCTGTGTTCTCCCAGTGAAGCAGTGCCCAGAAAAATGGTCTCCACTAAGAAAGCAGAGTGAGTTATGGTACCATTGGTGGTGTTGAAAACATGCCGTTCATCCACAAGCAGAGATATGTATGCACCCTTTCTGCGTAGCTGAAGAACATGCCACTTTCCATCTGACACATCTCCCTCCGTTGAGAGCTCCAGCTGCTGACCAGATGTGACATTGCTGAACACATATTGAGGTTTTCCATCTGATATCTGAGGAGGTAAGAGAAAACATGTCATCAACTGAATTAAGAGATACGGTGAGGGAAGTAAGTATTTGATCCCCTGCTGATTTTGTAAGTTTGCCCTCTTACAAAGAAATTAAGGGTCTATAATTTTTATGGTAGGTTTATTTTAATGGATAGAGACAAAATATCAGCTAAAAATCCAGAAAAACACATTGTATAAAGGTTGTAAATTGATTAGCATTTGTTCGAGTGAAATAAACTGTGGAACCCATACAGCTCTCTATTAGAACAATATCGTCAGAATCACGTTTTAAAGCGAAATTAAAAACCTATCTCTACGAGAAGGCTTATAATCGCTGAGTCAAATGGGGTTTGTCTAATTGTGTGTTTGTGTCTTTTTGTTATATTGTTTTATGTCTTTTAGTTTTAAGTGCCTCATTGTAACCTTGATATATTTTTAAATAAAAGAGAAACAGTTGAAAGACTTTTTTTGGTAATCAACATTAGCTACAAACGCTATCAGCTTAACTTCTATTGAACATGCCCATAAAAATCTTTCAGAGCTCACCTTAAGTTTTAGATGTGCTGTTTGACACCAGCACACAAGCAAAACAGCATTTCTTCTGACAGTCCTCATCTTGATTTCAACACTTTCAAACCCCTGAGAGTCACCTTCCTTCCCATACAGAATGGCTTGTAGAAGCTGATTTCTTCTGTAGCTTTCTTTGACGTCAAACTCAATGTAGGCCTCTCCGTTGAGAAACAAAACATGCTGCTCAGCCAAATCTATCAGAAATTGAATTCACTTTAAGGCTTTAAACTTTGAAGTATTACAGAAAAAAAACAGACAAACAAAAGATATGTATGAATGAAGTTACTCATGGCACAGTTGGATCCTGTGAAATGGTCTCTACACTGGCAGTGGTGGTGAGACCATCGGTCTTGACAAACTCCTTCATTCAAACACTCTGCGGTTTCACAGGGAGGAATATTTGCTCGCGGACATCTGATCATCAAAAAAAAGTAAATTTAAACATGGCATTTTTTAAAGAACTTTTACAGTTACAAAGTTTCTTTTGAAACTGACCGATCAAGAACATTCTGGGATGCCAGAGATTTTAAGGAATCTGGACCAATGTTGTTCACTTGAATGTTTCTCATACAGCCAACAAAGTCGTGAGTCCTGATTTGCCTTTGCAAAATGACATCAATGGACTTCACACCACCAAATGTCATGTTATTTGAGCTCACTTCTAGAGTCCTGTAAGTAAACATGATTTAGAGGTATGAGTTCAGATAAACAAACAAGTAATAATATGATGTAAAATGGTGAATCATTAGCATGACGATAACATTGAAATTATTATGTGTACTAGTATGTTTAATCTTGGAAAAAATGTCAAGATTAAATGTATACCTTTGGGTTCCAGTGCCACCATTCTGCGATAAGCAAAACCCTTGCGGTTCATTGGCCGAGCAGTTGTCTATTTCTAGAGAGGCTATCTGAGAGACACAAAGGGAAGTATACCAGCAGAATATCTGACAAATGTTTCACAAAAACGGCTTGATTGATTGCTAAGTTTACCATGCATAGGAATCACTTACATTTCCAGTTCTTCTTGCGGTGATGTTGTGAAAACTTCCATCAGCCACTATCTTTCCTGTTTCCAATCTTATCACTCCAGATCCAAGATCATAAGACAGCCACAGCCTTCCACTCACAATTTCAAGGGCCATGAAGTCTGAAGTTGATGGGTCCCCTTGGTTGTACAAAAGCAACGCGTTTTGCTGCACAGTCGCAAATTCCAGATAAATGAAGTTATATTGTGGATCCAATGGAGGAAATTCTATAAAAGAAAGTTCCTGAAAGCCATAACTGTGTTCTTCACAATTGATTCCGCTCACACCTAAAAAAAAAAAAAGAAAATGTCAGAAATATATCTATTCATAAAAGTATATAGCTAATCAGAAATGCATCTATTTAAATTAATATAATAATTTAAAAAAATATTAAATGATGAAAAAATACATTATTGAAACTTTTATCAAAATAATATAATATTTAATAAAATGTATATATTGTATTTAATACAAATAGAATTATACATTTTATAAATTAATATATACAACAAATATATTTAGTTTGATAATACATTATTAATTTTATCATTAAAATATTCTAATACTTAACATGAATATAAAAATGAATAAATTAAATATGCATTTTATTACTCAATTACATTTAAGGTAATATAATACATTGAATGTATTAATAATACATTAATCATTTTACAATGAAACAAAATTATAGTAATAATATTGTTAATATAATAAATACTATTAAATAATAAATTAATTGAATTTAACTATATATAATATTCAACTAAAAAAATAATAAAATGTCTCAAATATGTGCCTATGAGCAATATCACAAAATGAGGTCAGAAATTGAATCACAATATACAGATACATTAATTTCCTCTTACCAAATGGACACTGGCAAGAGTAACCAGTTAAAAAACTAAAGCAGTTGCCAAAAATACAAGGGGAGGAAGCACAGTGGTCAACAATACGATCGCAAAATCTTCCTGCAACAAAAATAAGTGGTTATTTATGTACAACAAACCAATTAAATTTAGATAGACCAAACACACACAAAAAAATATCCAGTGCATAAGTTATATGACCATACCTTCATACCCTGGGCTGCAATCACATATGAACCCTCCCTGTCTGTTCCAACAGGTTCCTCCATTTAAACATATTACTGTTTGACATTCATTATCAACTGTATTGCAGTGCGGTCCTGAGAACCCCTCTTTGCATTGACAAAAATAAGTTCCTGGATTGTTAAAGCAGTTTCCCCCATTTTCACAAGGTTCCTTGGTGCATTCATCAAAGTCTAGTTCACACGCATCACCTGTAAAGCCTGTTGGACAAGAGCAGTTAAAGATCTCCACAAAATAGGGTGAAACGAATATAAGACTAGAGCTTTCCAACACAGCAACTTCCTGACTGATGTGAATGTTTCTGTTGCAGGTGGCACCATTATGGCAGGGACGGAGCATACAGGGGTCGCTGGTTATTTGGGATATAGTCACATTGCTTTGCACTTCCAGTAACTTTTTATGCATGTTTGATATTCCGCTTGCTGCCTCTCCAGTTAGATACTGACCATTGTAGCTTTTCACAGCAGCCAAAAGCAGCATTTTATCTCCTTGCAACTTCATTCCAAACACATGCGTTTTGGATGCTTGTAGGTTGAAGAGGCTATCCAATGCTTTGACAAATTTTAAATACTTCAAAGACAGAAATTCCTCAAGAGTAGATATAGAAACGTAGAACAACACACAGTTGTCCAGAGAGACGTTGGTAAAGCCTTTGTAATTGACGTAGATGCTGTTGTTGACTGAGGGGTGGAGCTGGTCACTTGCTTCAACAGAAATATTATATGTTGCCTCTCCTTGGTATGGGGAGGACCACAAATTACACATGCCGAATGGGAAACTAAACATCCTAAGTGGCCCGTTTTTGATTGTACAATTGAACACATCCAGTTCGTCCTGATCGGTCGGTCTCACATTTCCGATTAGTCCTCCTGGGAAAGAACTTCCATAATATTTCACCAATATATTGATGTTTCTCTGAAGTGGTGCATTGTCATTTTCATCAAGAACTTTAATATTAAACAAAGTGGTGGAGGACATAGGCGGCTTACCAGCATCTTGAACCACAATGTGTATGTGAAAAAGAGGGTTGCGCTCCCGATCAAAAGGTCTTGAGGTAAGGAGAATTCCATCAGATGCAAGCGAAAAACCCTCAGCAGGTCGCATCATCCAGTATGTGAAAGGACCTTGATTTGGAGGAAGATCATCATCTGTTGCAGCTAAAGTAGAGACGAGAGTGCCAGCAGGTTGGTTTTCTCGGACAAAGCCTTCTGTGTTCAGCAATTTGGGAGAATTGTCATTGACATCAGTGATGGTGATAGCTACCTTTGTGCTTCCAGTTACAGCAGGTGAGCCCTCATCAATAGCAATGACCGTCAGGTTGTAGATGGCCCACATCTCTCTATCCAAGTGACTGTTAACTAAAATGACGCCACTGGCCGGATCTATAATGAAGGAACTATTGATATTTCCATGTTCAATTCTATAAGAGAACCTGCTCCATTCTGTGATAACATCCTGGTCCACAGCTTTGACTTTAGTTATGGAGGTCCCAATCGAGATGTCCTCCGGCACCGCTACAGTGTAGAGCATTGACTCAAACTCAGGTGGATCGTTTTCATCTAATATGTGTAGATGTATTAATGCCTCATCAACATTAAATCCAGTAATGGCGCCTCTGTTTTTTGCCAACACTCGTAGGATGTCTTCATTTTGATGGCGATTTTTCAAATCTTTGCAGATATATATTATTCCCGTGTGCTTGTCCACCATAAAACTAGATTTTTTACTTTGCCCTGCAAGTACATAAAACACTTTTCCATCAGGCCCCAAGTCATAGTCTATAGCCATGACCCTTCCTATTTCAGTTTTTGGCAGCAAAGCCTCTGACACAGAGAAGTTGTATAGATGTCTTTGAAAAGCAGGGATGAATTCATTGAGGCCAGCGACCTGGATGTATATATGGGCAACAGAAAACAAATATGGAAAGCCAATGTTGGTGGCCTTGACTGTAAGTTCAAAATGCTGATTTTTCTCATAGTCAAATATCTCTGAAGTGGTGATAGTGCCATTTTTAGTGTCCAAATAGAAGAGATGGATGTCTCCTGCAATAAGCGAATACGTGATTTGAGAGTGAATTCCTGTGTCAGCGTCCTTTGCCCAAAACTGAAAAACTGAGGTACCAATTAAAGCATTTTCTGAAACAGTGGCAAAGTAATCTCTAGACGTAAATATAGGAGGGTTATCGTTTAAATCTGTAACATATACTGTGATATTGAGTCTCCCCATCTTAGGATGCCAGCCTCCATCCTTGGCAATGACGTTTAGATGGTAAGTTTCTGATTCCTCAAAGTCAAGCGCTTTAACAAGCATGATCAATCCTGACGAGTGTCCAATGGAAAACAATCCATTTTCATTCCCACCATCAAAAGAATAGGAAATAACACCATTGACGCCGAAATCTTTATCTTTGCCTTGGATCTTTCCAATAACTGAATCAACGGGCAAATCTTCTGGAACAAAAAACTCAACTTTGCTGTTAAGAAAATGTGGTGCGAACAGGTTCTCTTGTGTGACTTCAAAACTGATTTCAGTTTGTGCAGAAAGTGGAGGGAGGCCTTTATCTTTCACAGTGATTTGAAGTGTTAGGATGATGTTAAGGCTATTTGCTAAAGTTTTATTCAACAGCACTTTTCCGCTGTTACGTTCTACCTCAAAATAAAGAGATCCATTGCCACCACTATTAAAGTACTCAACATTGTTATTCATTTCATGAGAATCTTGATCTACTGCAGATATCTGGATCACTTCTGTTCCCACAACCAAGGTTAAAGGGACTGGTACGAAAGTCCTGAAGGGTAAAAACGAGGGTGGGAAATTATTATGTTGTACTATTGTCACTGAAACAATGCTAGAGCTGTTCAAAGGAACACTGCCGCAGTCAGACGCCACAACTGTAAACGCAAAATTTACAGATTCAGACTTACGGAGAACAACGGGCTGTTTGTTTGAAATTTCCCCAGTTGATACATTTACCAAAAAATATTCATTTTGAGGGTCGATGAAGTAGAGGATATGTGCATTCTCACCAAGATCTCTATCAGTAGCACAAACTTGTAGAAGTGAAACTTCTTGTCTCTTCATCTCAGGGACAGTGACAGAGTAGAGTGGTTGATAGAAGATCGGTGTATTGTCGTTGATATCTGTAATGTCTATGGTGATGTCTGTGCTAATGCTCCAAGCAGAATCGTTGGCATTAACCTTCACTATGTAATGATCCTGATCTTCTCTGTCCAAAGGAAGCAGTACCAGTAAAGTCCCAGTGGTTTTATCAATACTGAATGGGAACTCACTATAATGGCCGATGATTGTATATTCAATGACAGCATTTAAACCAACATCTTCATCTGTAGCAGTTATCTGAATGACTGAAAAGCCCACAGGGGCGTCTTCAGGAACCTCTGTGATGAAAATCTGTGAGAAGCGGGGCGCATGATCATTTGTGTCGAGAACTTCAATGATAACTGCTGCAATGGCCGAAAGACTGTTGTTTTCTTTATCAACGGCCTTGAGGGTGAGATTATAATATGGTAATTTTTCTCGATCTAAACGCTTTGTTGTGGAAAGACTGCCACGATTTTTGTCTATTTTAAATGCGCCTCCGCTGTTACCCGCTAAAATGAAGTACTCCACCTCTGCAAACACTCCAGAATCTGCATCGGTTGCTAACACATTACACACCCAACTTGAAGCCAAGTTCTCATAGACTTCACATCTGTAGATGCTTTGCAAGAACACTGGTGGATTATCATTCACGTCACTGACATTCAAATGAAGTTCGGCATATGATGAAAATGGCGGTATCCCTGAGTCCCTGGCTTCAACTGTGAGATGAAAATGCCTGTTGGTTTCAAAATCTAATGGATACTTGACAGTCAGTTCACCAGTGCTGTGGTGAAGCTCAAAAACTTCCCCAAAGTTTCCAGAGGCCAGATAGAAAGACACTGATATGTTTCTCCATGTTTCTGCAGCCACAGTAGCCACAAGGGTGCCAGTAGCTGCGTCCTCGGAGAGGACGTATTTATGTAATTGGACTGCAATTCGAGGAAAGTAGGAGTCATTCTGGAATCTGACAGTCAAAGTTGTTATGTCCATTTTTGGCATATCTGCTCCATCCTGCACATGAACATCAAATGTGATGTCATTTCTTCTCTTCACAGAATCTGTAGTGAACACAGTTCCTGTGCTAGGGTTAATTGAGAAGAGATGGGCCTGTTGGCCATGTAGAGAAAAATGTAGTTTTGCATTCAATCCAGCATCTGCATCCTCTGCCATCACTGTGCTGACAACTGATCCTGTAAAATACACAATAAAAACTGGTTGTTGTTGTTGTTTTTAAAGGCAGTTGTCTAAGAACACTGGATACAAATATTAGGGTAACTATAATAGTGTGTACATTTACCTTTGGTTATCCCAGCAGGAACATTGGCGACATATGGTCCATAAAGAAAGGACGGAAAGTTATCATTCACATCCTGAACTTTTACTGAAACAGCAGCTGAGCTTGAAAGAGGCTTCGTGGGATGACCGTCAGTTGCGGTCACAAAAAATCTGTACAAAGCCACTGCCTCTCTGTCCAAGGAACTTACGGTAAATAAATCTCCAGATGTTTCATTGATGGAAAAAGGAACATCTAGGCCTTCTAAAGAATATCTGCAAGTGAAATATATGAAGTTAAATATCTACAGTCAATTATATTATACTATACAGGCTCATATCAGTGTTGTTGTTGCTAACTAAAATGATTAAAAATGGCTTTTGGAAATTGAAATAAAACTTAAATAAATTAAAATATAAATATTAAATGAAAAACTCAAATGAAAATCACCAATGTTGCCTTGGTACTAAAACTAAAATAAAATTAATTAAAGATTTATAGAAAAAATACGTCAAAATAAATAAGAAGAAATGACAAAAGCGCATAAAAATACTAAGGCTAAAATTACAATTAAAACTACAAAATATAAAAATAAGTGCTTAATCAAAATATTAAATTGTACAACAGTATATAAATAATACTAAAATAAAACTTGCTCATAAGACAAAACACAAGTGATTTTTACCAAAAATGCTAATATTATGACCATATTATAGAGTGCTTATTGAATTACTTTAGTTGTCCATTTATCCCCTCGTCTAAGTCTGAAGCTGTAATTCTCCAAAAAACCATCCCAACAGGAGAATCCTCTGATATGTGAGTATTGAACGTGTCATTGTCAAATACTGGAACGTTGTCATTGACATCATCAACAACAATAACCATGGTGCCTGTGCTTGTCAGTGATGGGAATCCTAGAATGGAAAGATAAAGAAATTGTAATAATAATATCACTGAATATGTAAAGAATAAATTAGGGATGCACCGATTAAAATTCAGGCTAATACCAATGAATATTTTCATGTACTGGCTGATACAAATCAAAAACAAAACACTAAAAACATAAAATAAATAGTTTTAAATGGTACTAGTGAATAGATCGGCATCACAACATCAGAAAGTACACTATAAAAAAATGGATATTCATTCATAAGAATTTCACTAAATACTACATTTAACTGTTATTAAATTATTAGTGTTTTTAAAAAATAACAAACAAGGAAAATAAGCATGCACAATTAAATATTCAATAAACACTGATAAATTAAAACAAATCTCTAATATTAACTAATAACCAATATTTGGCACATAAATATCGTGCATCCCTAGCTAGAATATTAAACTAACCCAGAAACAAGCAAATAAGTGATTATATCTATGGAGCCACTGAGGTGAATGAAGCAAATGATTACCTGAATCAAACGCAATAACTTTCAACATGTGATGGCTTTTCACTTCCCTATCAAGATCTTGTAAGATTTGGAACGTTCCATTGGAACTAAGTGAGAAGATACTCTCATTATTTCCTGATTCTAAAGAATATGTCAGCTGACCGTTAACTCCCAAGTCTTCATCAGTCGCATATATCTACAAAATACATGAATCATTGAACAATAAATTAAAACAAAGACAAAAAATGTAGTCAATTAAACCAAAAGTTAGTGTATCATTTCCATTTTAAATTAAGCACCTGGTGGATGTGCTGAGAAGTGTCTTCCCCATTTTCGAAGACATGTAATGTAAGTGATTCAGATGAAAAAATAGGCACGCAATCATTAACGTCTAGGACTGTGAAGTTGATGGTTGCCGTGGCAGACCTTTGAACATCTCCTAGGTCTTCTGCTAGGACTGAAAAACTATAGAAAGGCTTCTTCTCACGGTCCATCTTGTCTATCACTGAGACAACGCCTAGAACAGAGTCTATCATGAACCCACTCTCTGAGACAGAGAACCGCACCTGCCCGTTCGACCCAATGTCTTGATCACTTGCGTTGATTCTGAGCAGGCTTGTTCCGCGAGGTACATCCTCATACACTGAAAGGCTGTAAGAGCTTTGAATGAACTCTGGATTGTGGTCATTCACATCCTCAATTAGCACTGTGAGGTTCAATGAACTGAACAACGGAGGTACACCTTTGTCTTTGACTTTCAATTTGACTGTGATAACATCCTCGGTTTCCCTGTCCAATGGCTTCTGCAGGTACACAACCCCAGTTGAACTATTTATACTGAACGGTTCTTCTTCTGCACTCTCAAAAATGAAAACAACTTCAGCATTGGATCCAGCATCAGCATCTATTGCCTGTATGACCGTAACAACAGAACGAAGAGGTGCATTCTCTGGAAGACGAATTGTACTGGGTGTTGTGATGAGCGGGGAGTTGTCATTGACATCCAGAAGATAGACGGTAACATGCACTGAGGATGTGAGTCGAGCCTCTGTGGGTAGAGCAAGATCATTGGCCTGGACAATGAGACTATACATTGCGTTTGTCTCTCTGTCTAACTGCCCTCGCAGACACAAAGCTCCCTGCTGGTTTATAGAGAACTTACTCTCAAGATTTCCAGATGTCACCACTAAATACACTTCTCCATTAATACCTGTTGGATACAAGAAAAAAGAAAACCTGAATTACAATAGCCAACATAAACATTACTGACACCTGACTGCTACATTACACAAATTTTGTATAGTTTTTCTTTTGTTAATAGATAACTTTCTTTCGAAATTTGGCTCTCGTGTGTCCCAATTTTGTTGAGTCCATTTTGAGCCATGGGGTGTGTAACAACATCATTATAACGTACAGTATGATATATGAGTATTCATTATAATATTTAACAGCGTTATTAAATTATTAATGTTTTTAAAGATTAACTGAATGTTGGATGATGGATAATTATCAGATCTCCATACAAAAAGTTTGGTAACTTAGTAAAAGGCTTGTTAAAAGGACAGAACTTCAATCCCTGAGGCGGAAAGCAATTGTTTTGGTGTAACATCTCCAATAAAGAGCATGTCTATCTCTTTCCAGAACAAATGGAGTATCTTTTCAAACACATCTCAACAATCTTGGTCACTCTTGTTGCTGTTAAAGCTTCTGAGTAAACCTGAGCAACTTCCTAAATGGGTTTAAAGGAACAAAAATCAGAATCTCATTGTGGACTTGTATGTGGAATACATAATATGCTTCAACCTGAACCAGAAATAAGAGAAGCCGAGAAAGGGTGTTCTCCATTATTAGCAGTAGCCAGCATCCCCAAGAGAGGATCCTATTCATCGTCTCAGGACGCTTACAAAGGAGAAATGACGTAAGATTTAATTCGACCACTTTAGCCTGTTTGGTATTTCCCAAAGCTTTTCAAACGTGTGAACCTGGAGGTTTTGTGCTTAAAGGAAAATAAAAGATGACCGGTACCATCCATTGTGCTAATTCTATATTTACTAGATTTAAGTATTCTAACACATCCTCACTTTGTTTAAATGTCTCAATTTGGGTAATGGAGATGTAAAAAACAAAAGAAAAAAGAAAATATTTTCAAAGACTAGACTTAAACGAGAATCTTATGAACACATGATCACCACCTTTTGATCAAAAATACAGTAAAAACTGAAATATTACAATTTATAATAATGGTTTTCTATTTCAATGCATTTTAAAATACTTTTTACTTGGCAATGGCAAAGCTGAATTTTCAGCATCATTACTCCAGTCATCATTCTAATGTGCTGATTTCATGCTCAAATTACCATAATCAGTGTAATGTATTTTTATTGAAATCAGTGCATTGTTTTCAGGATTCTTTGGTGAATAGAAAATTCTAAAGAATAGCATTTATTTGAAATACAAATAGTTTGTAACATAAAGGTTTTACTATCACTTTTGATCAATTTAATGCATCCCTCCAAAATAAAAGCATTCCTTTCTTTGAAAATAAACAGTAGTGTACTGCAATGTTACCCTCATCTGGATCTGAAACATTCAGACTTAGGAAGCACATTCCAACAGGTGAATCTTCTGGTAAAGAGGCAGAAAAGGCTTTCTGGTCGAACACTGGTGGGTTGTCATTGACATCGATCACATTGAAGTACACTCTGACCCTACTGAGCTCACTGTCTCCCTGCTGAGCTGCAGCAGTCAGGATGTAGTAGCGTTCCAACTCAAAATCCAGAGCGCGGGACAGGAGGAATTCACCGGAATGTGGATTGAGAAGAAAGAGGCCATCACCATCATCCTCCTGAACAGAGTACACTGAGGTTTCATTCTCTTTACTGTATACTGCCTCCACATGTCCCACAATTGTTCCTATGAAGGAGACAGACAAGGCTAAATTTAAGTAATATTATAGACAAATACAGGGAAAATAGTGTTTGAAATGTGGTCACAAACAGATTAGACAATATATAGTGTATTTATATATATATAGTCCTGTTCAGAATTATTGGCACCCTTTGGTAAAGAATCCTGTGAAAATATATCTGCATTGTTAAACTTTTTTTCTCTCAATTCACAAAAATCTAACCTTTCTTTGAAGTAAAACAATTGAAAATGTGGGGGGAAATCTCATTATGAAACAAATAAATTTTTTATCTAATACCCGTTGGCCACAATTAATTGCACACTTTTATTTAATTCTTTTTTTGCAACGTCCTTTTGCCAGGATAACAGCTCTGAGTTTTCTCCTATACAGTAATGCCTGATGAGTTTGGGGAACACCTGACGAAAGATTAGAAATCATTCCTTCATACGGAATCTCTCCAGATCCTTCAAATTCCCAAGTCCATGTTGATACACTCTCCTCTTCAGTTTTCCACAGGATTCAGGTCAGAGGAAAGGAAAAGCCATGGCAGAACCTTCATTTTGTGCTCAGTTACCCATGTTTGTGTTGATGTTTGTTTTGGATCATTGTCCTGATGGAAGATCCAACCAAGGCCCATTATAAGATTTCTAGCAGAGGTGGTCAAGTTTAGATTTTGTTGGTATCTGAACAAGAGGTCCAGGACCTCCAGCAGAAAAATAGACCCACATTAAAGATCCAGCTGTATATTTAACAATGGACATGGGCTACTTTTTTATCCCTGTGAGCACCACATCTGGTGGGTTTGCTGCCAAAAAAAGCTATTTTTGTTTAATCTGACCATAGAAACCTGGTCCCGTTTAAAGTCCCAGAAGTGTCTGACAACTAAATATGCTGGAGTTTATGGAGTTTATTTTATTTTAAGGTTCCGCCGATTTGTGACATTTTCTGTTGACTGGAACTTTTGAATCCTTGCCCTGATAGTGGCTATTTTCTTATACGGGCACTTTCTCAACAATCTATTAGCTTCACATCAGAACAATATTCTTACGATTCTATACGATATTCGCAATGAAGACATGGTAAGTAAACGCCCACTGCTGTGAGAGGATAACAGTTTTGCATATTATAATGAGTTTCAACTCACTCGTCAGTGCACGTGGGGGAAATATTTTTGAAAACTTCCAATGTTTTAAAATGGCAACCGGAATCTTTCGCCCATACATGTTCGACCCAGAGTCCGTGTGTTGCAACATTCCTGTCGGCACACTAAAATGTCAGAAACTGTTCTGCCTTTAATGTTAAAACAGAGTCAGTTCTACGATGGAGAGACTCAAGAAGAAGTGACAACATGTAGAATGCAACATGATGTCTCTGAATGGTTAGTTGATGAATTTATATTGCTGATGTGCAGTTAACTATCTTCAATTGGCATATTCTGTCATGGAAATCTATAAATCGCTCGTATAGGTACTGTTGTAAGATGCACACAGAGTGACTTTCTATTGTGTGTGAAAAGATGGATGCTAAAGTTTGAGTTGACTCACAAACATACTGTTATACAAACACTTTTCCTCTTCTCAACATGGACTGTGTGTTCCCGGGGGTGGGGTTTATGTACATTTTAGGGTTGGTGATGTCACTAAACCGGGAGGAAGCTCGTGTAGTTCCTACCAGGCATTTGTTGTAGTCCTTAAAAAACGATTTCTTTAAAAGCAAATATCTTCCTTTGCTTTGAACTTTGAGCGTTGTAACTTTGATTATGTCGTCTATGCTCAAACAGCAACATTTCACACTAACTAAAGTTAGAAAAGTGAAATCATACCTTACCACCCTTTAATGGATTTTTTTGTGTGTGTTTGTTACCTAATATTACACTCTTGTGAAACTAGAAGTCATGGCAGCATAATTTCATGTTCCTATAACCCAGGCGTGCAAAAAATGGTACACGCACACACACCTTGATTAGATTTACTTCAATAAAAGGTTACATTTTGGTGATTTTATTTACATTTTGGTGATTATATTTTTAATGAAAGATCAAAAGGATCAACAATGCAGTATTATTTTCACAGCCTTCTTTTATCATATTTACCAAGGTGCCAATAATTCTGACCTAGACAGCATATAAAAGCAATGCTCACCAGGGGGTGTGTCTTCCATCACTTCAAAGGAATATACAGATTTGGAAAATGATAGCTGTGAGAAGCTTCTACTACGAACTGGAGCTGAGCCTGATTTGCTCATAGATGGCCGAGCTGATATGTTGAACCACTTCTTCTCATTCCTATTACCCAGCTCTGTCCTTGTTGAACTGGTACAGAAAACACCATAAGCAGTAAACCTGAAGAAAATCTGTGGGATAAAAGAAGAAAACATTAACTTACAAATTTGCCACTGAGGAGAAAAACATCAAATAAAGGTGTGGAGCAAGAAACATGGAACAGTTTCAGCCATTAAATCCCATGACAAGGCTCTTTGTAAGAGACCTTTTCTAAAAGCAGCAACAGTATACCTTGATTTGTGTAAGGTCTGTGCTTTGAGAGCTCTTGTGGTTCTCCCCTTACCACAGTATCCCACGCCAACCTGAATATGTGTCTTTATTTGGGTTCCCAAGGTACCTGCCTTTGTTAAGCTCTAAAATGTCAGTTTAGATCTGGACAATCTGGTATCCACTGAGTTGCTCGGTGAATAAAAAGGAATGTTCTAATCCTGTTTAAGTGAATGCACAATAAATTTAAAGCATCACTTCATTTTTTTTTTTAAATAAAAAATAAATTGGTCCTCTTGCAATATGTCAGGTAATTTACACTTGTTAATTATAGATACATTAAATTATCCACATTAGTACACTAAACTATCTGGTATCCAATGAGTGGCTCGGTGAATAAAAAGGAATGTTCTAATCCTGTTTAGCTGAACGCAGTAAATTTAAATATTTTTTTAATTAATAAAAAAATTGGTCCTCTTGCAATATGTCAAGTAACTTACACTTGTTTATTCATATTTTTTTATAGATATTAAATTATACACATTACACTTAACTATATCATATATATATATATATATATATGATTACTATGCAATTATTTATAGGCTATACATTAAAATAAATGAATATATATATATATATATATATATATATATATTTATATATATTTCATTTAATACATATCATCAGATGTAGACTATCCATGTATGTTCATATACAATTATTAATATATTAAATTAAATATTAATATTATCTATTTAATGTATTTAATTACAAATCGTATCCTAAATCAATGTGTTCACAAATTTTATCAAGGACATGCAAATTATGATATTCACTGTACATTGAGCACTTTAGCAAAAACTTTTCACAAAAACAATACAAGTTTTAAAAGAAAAAGGTACAAAAAGAAAAATACTAACTTACTCACCGCCGCGTGAACGAGAAATATACAGAGATGCATTGATCCAAACTTGTTCATCATTGCTGGTATCCATTTACCTCTCTACCAACATATGAACGTTTCTCGGACATAACACATATTCGAATAAATCTGTGTGCACCATTTCTCTGTCCACAGTAATGGGCAGTGTGTGTGGGGGGGTGGTAGATGTCCTGCGACGATTTTTATTGGCGCTGTCGCGCTTCCAGTCCGAAATACACCGCCTCCAACTGAAGCGCCAAAAAGCACGTCAACTAAACTTTAGTAGGCTAGTTACTTGTCCAACAAAAAGCGCTAAAGATGTAAACTAAGTTTCCCTGGTACATGATAATAATATTGTCTCTATTAACTTGAGTAGCTAAGAAAGACATTGGCATGTAGCCTATTAAGTTTTGGGTGACGCCAGTTGCGTTTACAAGTTTGGTCTTCCAGTCTTCCATGTCTGTCCACTTTCAATGTGAACTGGCAGTGGTCTATTTAAATGCCCCCCCTCTCATGCGGCAGCAAAACGATCATGTGCGCTGTGTTTCTTTCTCCATTTGAATTCAGAGGATGCCAGCATGGCACTCGCCCAAAAAGTGATTGAATGGAGTCCCGCTGTAAAAGGGGTCGGTGCCACCCGATAACCGTTAAACAGTACAACAAAAGACAACTACAATTTGGCAATATTAATCTTGTAGCCACTCTGAATGAAATACTTCCAGTATGACGAGCGCTTTCAAAACGCATAGTGAAATTTCGAACTTCTATGCTTGTTTCGAACCAGTGAGCAACTGCCAAAGTCACGTGATTTCAAAACGAAGCTGAAAAATAACTGTTTCTCTGTGAACCCATGAACAGTGTCTACATATGATTTTTTTTTTTTTTTTTTTGGATTGGCGATAAATTTGTTATATTTGTATACATTTAACGACACATTTGTATGATAAAAAGAAAGAGTTGTACAAGCTCTAATTTAATAACATGCTTTTAAAAATACATTTTATATTTATTAGATACTTTGCTATTTGCATTATAGTTGTCTGAAGCACAAAGAAGAAAATGGGTTTGTGTTTGGCAGCTTCTTGCTGATCGCCGATTTTTGCTTTGATGAGAAATTGTGATTTGAGGTTATAAACTCGAAAATTATTATTATTTGCCTCTTGTTCAGTTTCAACTTCATTAAAATGAGTTGAAGTAACACAATTTAACAGCTTAATTTGTTAATTAAACTTAATTTGTCCCAACTTAATTTGTTTTCAATCAACCTAATTTAAAAGTGAAGTTTACTTAATTCATTTGTGTTAATAACATGAATAATTTTAATTGACATTAAATGTTGGACATTTAGAGTTGTTTCTGTTATTTAATTTTGTGGTTATTATTGATGAAGAGTAGTGCCTGTGCTTACACTGTGGGCAGTGCACTCAAAGTTTTAATCTCAAGTACTACACTTGTCCTTGCTTGGTTTGTAATAAACATTGTGTATTGACCCATGATGACACTTCATAATTTACAAGTAAACCCCTAGTAAATTAATTAAAAAAATAATAATAATAATTAGATTGGACCAACAGAAATGTAAAAAAGTTAAGTTAAACATAGAGTGAATTTTGTATTTATTTTGAATGAACTAAATTAAATATGGTGTAAAAAAAAAATCTTTAAGTAAGGGTAATGGATTCATTTTTGAGTGTACTTACATCAAGGTGTAAGGACTTTAATCAATTGGACTTATGCACAGCTGCACTACTTCCTGAACTTAAGCCAGCTCCTTGTTTCCTGTCTGCCATTATTGGCCAAATTGATTAATTCAGGTGTGCCTGACCTCAGTACGGCAACAATAATCAGACACACCTGAATTAATCAAGTTTGGCCAATAATTGCAGACAGGAAACAAGGAGCTGGCCTTAGTTCAGGAAGTAGTGCAGCTGTGAATAAAGCCAATTACCTTGCTGGTGAAATCAGGTTAAATGATGATTTAGTAAAACCAGTAACCAGTAAATTTTTTTGGTGGAATTCGGTTATAATCAGTAATCCTAATTTATTTCATTTCAACAAAAACATTTTTGTCAACTATAATCAAAATGCTCCATTATTTAGCTCCATACTTACTAATTGGAGTTGCAATTAACTGTCAACGCTCCCCTAAAGCGCCCTCTGCCGGAACTAGTCTGCTTAATTTTTTTAATGGCCTTGCGTTATTTTGTTTTTGTGTTTTTTCCAGCTTCCAGATATTTGCTTTCAGCCAGGCCAAGTAATTAATAGTCAACCAGTAGGCTACTGTTTGGTTGACAAATGCGTTGTGACAAATATGAAAGAGTTAAGCTTGTCTATGGACTTGTGATCTTCCCTTTATCTTACAAATTCACTTACAGAAAATTCACGTCATTTAACCCAAAAAATGTAGATACAATGCTTTAAATAGGTGCTTTATCATATATTGTTATTTTGTCCCTCCTTGCAGTATAGGACCTTGTAAAAGACGTCAAGGTGAAACCTGAATAAGATGACATCATTTGATCTGTAGTATAACAGTAAACAAAGCAGTAACACATCACAGCCACAGGGCGTCGCTGCGATTACATATTCCTTAGCATACAGTAAATGATCTTGTTTAGTCAGAAAGCTTATTTCAAGTCATTAACACAACCCTTTAGATTTTTAGGTTACCTTTAATGCCGTCTGATAAGAGTGAGTGTCTACATTTCCATTTTCAAGTAGTCTCTTCGTTTTTGATGGCACACTCCAATACACTGCATTAATTCATATGCCAGAGCACGACTTAATGCAACACTGGGTAAGGCTTTGTGTGAAGCAACATTCTGAAATTAATTTATATTGTACATGATTGAAAAATTCAAAACGTTTAGAGTCTTAAATGTGCTGCAATTTTGAATTGGCTGATGCAGATAATTTCTTTGCTGATTTTGCAACATTAATTAACAAGTTTATAATACAATGCATGCATGAACGGTTAACTTCAGATATTAAGTATAATATCCTAAAATTCTGTCACTACAGTAGCTATGGAAGAAAAAAAACAGGACAGTTTTCTAAAAAAAAGAAATGTTTACTTCAGACACATTCTTAAATGTCAAACAAAGCTGCATTCTTGTAATTAGAGTGGTATTCAAAGTACAGTTAAAGGACCTTATGACGGCAAATACGAAAAATATTTGTAAAAACTAATGATAGTGCACTACAGATCTACATGAACCAGATACTTGTGCTATGCACCTTCAGAGAAACAGTTCAAATCATATTCAACCATACGCTGTTCCTGGCAAGAACTACCACTAACCAAAAATCAAGATAAAAAGAAAAATGTAAAGACTGAAGACACATAGTGTTAACTTTACAAAAGGAGAATAACACTGTACATCTTAAAAACGTCGCATATACACAGCCTAACAATTCTTGTTTCTGCTGTATTACGTTTGAAGATGTGAATCGTGTACAATTGGGTTTATGGCATGAACAAGAACTTAGGCTATATCAGGAGCTAATCTACTCATCATCATCATCATCATCCTCATCTTCCTCCTCCTCCTCTTCATCTTCGTTCTCGTCATCATCCTCCCCATCTTTTTTGGACAAGCCTGCAATGCCCTTTGTGCGGTATAGGGCAATATCCTACAGAAGATTCAAAAAGTTAACAAATAGGGCAGGTGCATTTTCAAATTTGAGAATATTAAAGACTTATCAGGGAAGAAAGAAAAAAGAAACTGTACACTACCTTGTCATACTTCTCCTTAAGCTTTGCAGCTTTCTTCTCATAGGGCTGCTTCACCTCAGCTGTTGAACCATTCCACATTTCTCCAAGCTTCTTGGCAATGTCTCCGATGGAAAGACCTGGGTTCTCACCTTTAATCTTAGGGCGGTAGTCACCACAGAAAATAAAGAATGCCGACCTTGGGGGGGGAAACATGCATTCAAACCAAACCATCATGAAAAGTCCTTTATTTTTTCAATGGCAGTGCAAAGCTTGAACATACGGTGGTCTCTTGGGCGCGTTGGGGTCCTTAAACCGCCTCTTCTTCTCTCCCTTCGGTGGGATGTAGTTCTTCATTTCTCTCTCATAGCGAACCTTATCTTGCTTGGCCATATCCTCAAACTTACCCTTCTCTTTGGCAGACATTGTCTGTTCAGAAAGAGAAAAGGCTGTATCAAAAAGTGCAACTTACATTAGAAAACAGATTTTTGTAAGCCTAAGTAAGCCTAAAAGCACAACAAATATATTTATGCAATATAACAGCCTAATTTGCATCCACATTTTACAGAACAGTACCTTCCATCGCTCTGAACACTTCTTGGAGAATTCAGAAAAGTTAACGCTGGCTTCAGGGTGCTTCTTTTTGTGTTCTTCACGGCAGGTTTGCACAAAGTAGGCATAAGAGGACATCTTTCCCCTGGGCTTCCTTGGATCTTTACCCATCTTTTCTCTCTGGGGAAAAAAAAAATTATATTCTTAACTAAATGAAGGTGAAACAAGCTTTACTCATTTTATAATTTGTAATATTGTACAATTATTTATTATACATTTTATAAACTTAAAAATATATACTTTCTTAGTTGTATATATATATATATATATATATATACATTTAAATGGATTTATGTATTTGCTTCATGTAGTAGATACACTGCTAAAATGTATTTGTTCACTACAATTTAAAATGAATATATATATATATATATATATGGTCATTACTATGTACTGTGAGGGACATACTTACACTAACATGATTATTAATGATGAAATGTGCAGTGAAATCTTATTATTGAGATGGATGGTGAGATGCACAAAGACTCCCTCAGGTTCAGGGTGAAAGACAAGGACATCCTCCATTTCGTGAATAAAATAACATATTTAATGATTTAATATTCTTTCCCACTATTTTATTTTGCCTTATGTGTATTTCTCATTAACGGAACATTGATAGCAGCATCGATCATGAGCGGGCAAATAGATTACATATGGCCCGCCTTAAAATGCCAAAATGCTGCAACAATAATATTTCTTCTTCCATTTTGAAAAAGCCGTCTTCATGAGAGAAAGTCCCCCTCAATTGTCTCCTCCCACATTCCTGGGTAATTTCTAGGACCTAAAATCACTGTTTTTCGCCCCTGTCCCGCCGCCTTCCGATATTTCGCCTCCCCTATGGAAGAAGTCGGTCGGTATGGACACAGTGTCTGTAACTATAAGCGCAATGCAATGGGAGTTTCGCTCGCGTAAGGCCGCCGTTCAACTGGAGCCACATGAGCACAGCTAGCAGAGCCAACATGGCTTCCTCTCGCTCTCTCCCTTTATGTCTGCTAGCCAGAGCCGCATTCACACACGCACAACACTGGCGGTGGGAAACAGTACACAATATAATTGTATCCCTTCTTTCTCGCTCGAGTTCTCTTGGAAAACACAGGCGTTCCCTGAAATAGACCCTCGGGCTTTTATGCCAATGGAGAGGAGCTTGGATAAATTTCATTTTATTAGTTTAGTTGAATGTCGCTTACACCCCGTCCGTCTCCATCCCCCGCCACTCACGGGCAAAACGCAGAGTATTACCTCCGCAACCCAACCATATTATATTACAGAACACGGCCGCACACGTCCCGTTCAGAGAGAAAAATGCACAAAATGACGAGAACATTCCCTTGGGGCTGGTAAATCTATCCGGGGTGTTATTTTAGTGTTTTTGTGTCAATGCCAAGCACGTCACTGACTGACACAATAACACCCCAAAAAAGACCTCAAAAAGCTAACTGCTTTAGCTGGGATGGCTACCTGGAAAATATTACACCCCACCTTAACAAAGACTAATCTAATACTGTCATTTCACAAGAAAAATGCAATATTTTTTTATCTTCAGACGATTTTTCCATTCAGGACATTTCACTATGACTGAATGACTGGCGAATAGATTCTGACAAAGATTGCTCGCCCTGCGTTCACGAAATCACCACGCAACTACCAAGGTAAACGAGTTGTAATATACGACGCAATTTTAAAAATAGTTAATTGAGGCCTTGATAAGACTATTTCGACAAAAAACTCACCAGTCTTCTCTATTTGCAGCTTCTGTGGATGCTTAACGTTAGATAATGGGGCTTTGAAGTACAATAACACCGATGCGCGCTCTTCCAAGTGCTTGCAGAACCCTCCGCTCACGAGAGACACGGTATTCAGTCACGAATCGTATTGGCTACCGCCAAGTCCTGAGCGCCCGCGATTGGCTGCCGGCGCACTATAGTCCCTACGAGAGCTGAGGTGTGGTTGGCTGTTCATAGGCGAAACGTCACATTTTTTCAACGGCGCGTGAATATGAAAAAACATACATTGGTGCAAGTGCAATAGTTTCAGACACCGTTTTGTACTGCTGTGAACATACTGTAGTACATGTATTGTAAGCACACCGTTGTCGTCGAAGTAAAGGTTTCAAATTGTACGTATTATGAATATTTGCTTTAAAACATGTATTTCAATGATTTCACTGCACAGCACGATGATATCTGTCGGAAGAGAAAAATAAGAAGAGTGTGTAGGCTACTTTCTACCAGGGTGCGAATTACGGGAATTTGGAGGGTTCTGGACCCCTAAAGACTGTTTTAACCCCCCTAGTCAATTATCATTAGCCTAATTGTTGTGGATTTTACAAAGCTTTAAAAACATTTAATTGTGTATATTTGGTAAGGAACGCTTCAATAACATTTTACATTATTTTTGCGCGCAAATAAAATGTATTGCGTGCGCAGAGAAAAATCAGAAAATGTGGAAAAATGTCCAATTAGAGCGCAAAGCATACATTACTGTATCACTCAATTGCATATTCCAATAGCCTGTATTTATCTGCGTGCTGTTTTAAAATCGTGCAAATGCAAAAGCTGATTTAGATCCCTAGCTGCACGAATTTTATTCAACAAACTAGTTAAAATTAAATTACAATAATTGATAACGTATTATAATTGATTCGTTCTTTTTTTTTTAGAAAATTGTTTTATAACACGCGGATTTAATAAATGTGACATAGATGAATCACAGGCAATGTTTTAGGACTTTATATGTCATCGTTGTTGGTTCTGAGTTTGTAATGGTAATCTTTAATGTTTCTGCAACATGTATAAAAATAAATAAATAAACATAAAAAAATAAAAGACTGAAGGGCCCACTTTATTATCATTGCTCCTTGACAAATCTCACAACCATCGTTGTAAATTCTCCAAGAACTTTTTTCCTTTTTTAGTTTATTTTGTTAAAGAATGCATTTATTTTATTGTAGCCTATTGTTGTTGCTGTTATTATTAATGTATTGTTTTTAGTGCTTTTTATTCCATGTAGCTTACTATATTATTATTACATTTCCATTGCTTATTCATGTTTTGTGATCCCTGGCAATAATAGCCTAAATTAAAAGAAAATGGAAATCTTGAAATGCACTATATCATGTTTTCCACTGAGCGGCGCTACGACCAAATAAAATCGAACTGGCTCGAATTTACTGATCTTTTTAGTATTAAGAAACGTGATAAAAGAAATAGCCTACAGCTTGTTAATGCATTTAATTAATGCATGTACATACATCATCCTTTGCATGTTTTAATATTTTGTTTTGCATAGGCTATATAGGGCAATTATTTCAGTCAAAATAATCATATAGCCTGTGGAATATAGATTTCAGTGTGCTGTCTCGTTGGACGCTTGACACTGTCGGAGTTTTTTGTTTTTTGGTTTTTTTTTGTTTTTTTTTTGAAGGTGAGGAAAAAGACGTGGAGAAAGACCCCCGCGGAGCGTCAGTTTGCTTTCGCGCACCCGTTGTTGTGCGTTTCCTAACAACGCCATCTTACAGAAAACATCCGATTAGATAGGCATTATAACAGGCTAAAAATTTTATCTTCTTGATTCTCAATGTAAAACGACGGAGGAGGTGAACAGCACAGAAACATCTGATACTGGACACATTGATGTCGTTTGGACAACAGAGTCAGATATTTCATATCTGTCAAGACAACCATGGCAAATTATGGTTAGACAAGTTTATTGTGATTGTATAGCCTATGCTTTTTAAAAAATGTTTTAATTAGTTTTAATACTGTTTCAAACACAAGTCCGAAAAACATCTGGCAAAATCTATAGAAATTCATGCATTGGATGATCCAATGGGAACAACTGCATACAGTGAAGACTTCTGCTGGAAGCCTGTGTCAAAGACTGCCTGTACGTCTGCCACAGCATCAGGAAACAGAAGGAACAACCCACACCCAAGCCAGGTGAATGGCACTTTTTATAATTTGATTTGTTTAGCGTATGCTTACTAATGCTGAATGTGTGTTAAATTTAAAAAAGCACAGTAGCACTATATTTGTGTTCTTTGGAAGAAAGAAAGTCATACATGTTTGGAAAAAAAAGCATTAGAATGTGCAATCTTAAAAATAAAGGTTCCAATTCCAATGGTTTTTATATAATTTTATTTTTTTACAAAGATTCCATAAGAACCATCTTTGGTTCCACAAAGAACCTTTCAGTTTTTATTTCTTAAAGGCAGGGTTGGTAAGTTTGAGAACTACAATCTCCTCCCTTCCCGGCTCCTTCCAAAGCCACGCCAAAGCCACGCAAGTTTCAACACACTATTACCCAAATCAACCAGGCCAAAGACCCTTTCCTCAGCGGCCCTATTTGCATTGCCTCCGGGCAGCTATTTTGGGCATCCAAGTCCTGTTTGAATGGGGGAATCCTAGCTAGCTAGATTCACTGTTTAAATGCGCTAAAAACATAGCATGCTGAGGACTGCTGTCCTGGCAAAAGATGTGTAAACAAACTGATGTTGATTAATTCAAAAATATTAATAAAATTTTTCTTCAAAAGACGACAAATCTCTAATCAGAGTGACGGATTCTCCCAACTCCTCTTGTCTCTTAAGGATATTGTAGCCTACGCAAAAGCGCCAGTTTTTTTTTCTTTCTTTTTCTGTTTTGTGTAAAGTAAAGCAGCCGCAGGTCATCCATTTTTGCAGTTTAAAAAACATTGGAAAGAGTGTACCATAATTTTATTTCTTTTATCACAAAGGCATTCATGGTGTGGAGACATAATGCAGATCAAATTAAACACTTTGATGGTAGTTCCTCTCTTCACCTTTCTTTGACTGAGAAGGCAATCCAAAAGGCTCTGAGTGCCCACAGGTCAACCTACCAGACTGACTTTATTGGATTACCTCAAGGTGAGTTATAAAGGTATTTGAATCTTATTTAATTTCAAGGTTTCAAAGATATCTTATTATGACTGAAACATCTCAATGTCTGTGTTATGTTCTGTCCGAATCACAGGGATTATGAAGAACCATGCAAGTTTTGCTCCTTTTAACCGCAGTCATGCTGTCCATTACTATAACCAGACTGAAATGAGAGACAGCTACCGCCCACCTCAATCAAAACTTGAGCTTTTGGGGAACAACTCTCGCTATGGGTGCAATAAGCTACATGGTATAGCAACAAGGGGTATTGGTAAGCTTCGGCAAACCTGTAACACTTATGTTTCTGTAACACTCTAGTCCCTCCCCTGTGAACAAAATCTGACATGAACTATCCCATAAATGTTGTTTCTTATAATCAAATAGCATTGAAACAAAGCTTATTTTCAGGCTAGAACAGCCAATACGCATGTGCAGTCTTAAGCGCGATGGCAGCTCTAATGGCAGCTTCGGTGACACAATGACTTTATCAATAAGTATTGGCTCTTTTACTTACAAGGCAGTATCCCGGTATCCCAAGGCAGTAACCCCTTGTGGACTTTGTGCTTTGTAGACATTTTTCATACTCAAACTCAGACAGCAACATTTACACACTTAAAAAAAGATGAAAATGTATGACATCTTACGGCACCAGTATGGCACACAAATTAGAGAAGAATGACATATTTTTCTTTTACATCTTAGTCCCAACAGTGATTCACAGCCACATCAATAATCAGGAAAACATCAAACTGCAGACCACCTACAATAAGCATTTTGGAAGAGGACATACAGATGTCTCCTCAGTGCTCAACTCAATCCCACCTCAGACGTTTCTACAGATTTGTAAGAAATTATCTGATAAAGGTGAGAAAGAGTGATGCGTGTTCTTGAAATATATACCACTTCTACTTTTAGAAATGCATATTATTCCCCCTGATTTTAAGATTTCTGTGATTTTAAAACTTCACAATAAAATCAAACAAATTAGATCAGTCATTGCAAAAGTTTTTATACTTCAAATTTGTAATTATAGCGAGCATCCCTCTAGAAATCCTACCGAATTTGCTTGAAAAGCAGAAATAGATATAATTCCTACAGTGTAGCCTGTTATTGTGTTAAGTGTTATATATGTATATTATTTTGTCTTTTACCAGAAAAGAAGGATTTGAAGACAATGCACATAAGCAGCTCCTCTTCTCGTAGATGTAAGGTGAAGAATACTGGTGTATTCATGCAAGCCCCTTCTTCCACACTGGAGAGGATGTCTGCCTGGCCTGGGCCTTTATAAACATGGCATTTTGAATAATGAAAAGCAATATGAATATTTGTGCAGTCTTTTTTAGGGTCATGAGTCAGAACACTCCTAATATAATGATATGCCTTTATGCATCTTTGATGATGTGCTTAATAAAACACTCAAAATAAACTGAAAACAGACATAAACCATTTTTACTATAGAGCTCTTTTTTGTGGTTGCGATTTTTTACTATGATGAAAATACAATAAAAAATCATTAATCATTTGTCTCTTGAGATTTTTTAGGGTACTGGAAAAGGCCCTTAAGTCCTGAGATAGATATTTTTATGTATGTTAACTTTATAAAATAATAGTAAAGGTATAAATCAACAACATCAGATGAACTGATTTATTATGCAGAACACAATAAAGAGGTAGGGATATGCACAGCAAGCTATAGAAAAGACACACAAACAAAACAATTTAATTTCACTTAGTGGTGAATTAATTTAATTTTACACAGTGGTTTTAAATGTGTTTCTCATCACAATGCATGCGTAGCCACTCCATTCAGTTTTGTGTATCAGGTAACCTGAGACTCAGGTGTGCTGTGTCTCTAAGCTCCTTTGCAAAACAAGCAAGCAGTCTCTAAAGAGAACGGAAGCCAAGCCGAAAAAGACGAGATACTCTCAGATCTATTCAGTTATGCCACTAGGCAGGAAAATTCGGGCCTCATCTGCTGGAGCCCAACTTGAGACCCATAACAAGCCCAGGTATTCTGCTTTATGCTTTTCATTGATCTATATCTTGACATGGCTTCCAGTTCCCATATTTTACCATTTCAGTTGCTCAACACCACTTTGAAACAGCACCTGATACAGAGACTAATTTGTTCTGCTTCATGACTTTCATTTCAGTATGAGGACTATGTTTTGTACGACATTGGTATTGGATTATTTTCCAGCTCCTGACCTTGAGTGTCACTCCTCCCGTTGTTCATCGTGTTTACTGTTGCCAGGGAATACGGATCATGCTGTTGCCATGCTGGAACCAGTTTGTGTCCTTGAAGATTAATTCATGTTTTGACAGACAAATATGAAGATATTTCGTGACTCTAATTTGATCTAACATACTCTTGGCTTTCACTTTGCAAAATTAAATTTAGGAGGTCTAAGGTTCTCCCTATAAAAACAACAACAACAAAAACTGTCAGCTGTGGTTGACAAGATAATTCTGTAAAAATACAGTACAATTTTAATATTTAAATCTGCAATACACCCACTCACATGTTGGGTTTTCATGTTTTATGGGGACATCCCATAATACTTGTTATGTGCAAACTATATTCTATTCCCTAACCCAACACACATGTGTGTTTGTGTGGGTGGTCATTCATAACACAGCAATACAGCTAAAAGTATTGCTAATAATAGATCTTTTATTGATAGTAGCCTACTTTAACCTGTTGAGACATGCTGTCTCAAGTACCTGTAAGAGGTATATGTTTGAGTTTGCTGTTGGGCTATACGTGGCGCGCGAAAGGTTGTTTCTTGATAACTTAGATGAAAAAGAAATGATAAACAAAATATTCAATGCAACACTCTTATGCAGTATATCGACAGATTTTGGACCAGTATATGGAGCGGCTGGGCAGAACCAGAAGCAGGGCATGCAGTACAGACAGCAGGCTGATGGGGTGTATTCTACTGGGTCTATATTAGACCCTACTGAGAGGAACCAACAGCTTCCTGCTTGGCTAGAGAGAGAGCTTTTGAGGCAAGAACCCAGACGACACTCTCTTGCCCTGGGAGATGATGTTAAACTTAGCATGCAAAAACGCTACAGAGCAGATCCTGCTGGGACCCTCTGTGAGCTCAAGGTAAAGGTTAAAGGGTCACACTTGTGCAGCATCTGCTGCTTGGCTGCATTTTCGAACAATTATATTCTACCTAGATTGAATGGCAACTTGCCCCAGCATCATCTCTCACTGGTCAGGTATGCAAATGTAAATGTTATAATGATAAATAAGGGAGTTGGGCAGCTGGATTGATTTTGATGATCCATAATATTGCATATGAAATTAGAGTCTAATATAATGTTTACTATTTAATATATAAGGTTATATTTAATGTTTAACCCCGCCCACTCCAGCACAGAGCCCACCCTCATATCGTTCTAACCTTGTTTTGCATTTTTTTAAACTGCTCTTCTCTAACCGACCAGTAAACAGACCACTGAATTCAGTTTTTACATCAACTTTAGGTACAGAATATGTTTCTTTTTGTATATTTTATCTGCTCTAAATCATATCATATTTAATTCCTCAAAAAGCTATTTATTATGTCCCAGGTTTGATGTATAAGTAACCAATTGTAACTTCCATTTTAGCTGCCCATCTTTCAATCTTAAAACCTAAAGGTGTCAGTATAGTATAATAGGTCACTCTTTTCATACCAAAGCTTCATTAAATATGCCAAAACCAAATTATTAACTTTCTGCAGGACAAAATTGAAGTCTTTTTTTCTAAAATGACATTTTGAATCAAGTACAGAATCCTACGGAGCCCCCCTTATCTTTGTCAAAAGAAAAAAAATATTTTTTATAAGTATCTCGTTGCCTCAAGATAGTAAGTTAACTCGTGGCTACTTGGGCACAGAGATATTATGCAACACCTGAAGTAAAACTTGCCACAAAGAACCAGCAAAAGTAATGATTATGCATGAAACATTTTAATTGTTTATTAATAAACTAGTGTTTTCTATGTCAGTGGCTGCAAAGATAATGTTGACGGTGCAGACTCGCCATATTCGCAGTATTGACACGTCTATGGAGAGACTTCTTATGAAATAGCCTACATAAGAGTAGGCAATTTCTTTTAGTTTGTAATTGTTTTGTTTAAAAGTACACATTTCAAGCTTTCTTCTCAGGTCTGAGTTTTGGTTCATTTGTGAGACGCGCTCCAGTTAACGCACCGCCGCCTTCATGTCCTTAATATATTGTCTACTATATTTGCTTCTTGTGTATTAATCCAGGGAAATTTGTTGATTAATTATTTCATCTGAGGCCACGAGTTACTATCTTGAGGCCACAAGCTACTATCTTGAGGCCACAAGTTACTATCTTGAGGCCACGTGATACTATCTTGAGGCCACGAGTTACTATCTTGAGGTCACAAGTAACTATCTTGAGGCCACAAGTTACTATCTTGAGGCCACAAGTTACTATCTTGAGGCCACGAGTTACTATCTTAAGGCCACGAGTTACTATCTTGAGGCCACAAGTTACTATCTTGAGGCCTCAAGTTACTATCTTGAGGCCACAAGTTACTATCTTGAGGCCACAAGTTACTATCTTGAGGCCACGAGTTACTATCTTGAGGCCACGAGTTACTATCTTGAGGCCACAAGTTACTATCTTGAGGCCACGAGTTACTATCTTAAGGCCACGAGTTACTATCTTGAGGCCACAAGTTACTATCTTGAGGCCTCAAGTTACTATCTTGAGGCCACAAGTTACTATCTTGAGGCCACGAGTTACTATCTTGAGGCCACGAGTTACTATTTTGAGGCCACAAGTTACTATCTTGAGGCCACAAGTTACTATCTTAAGGCCACGAGTTACTATCTTAAGGCCACAAGTTACTATCTTGAAGCCACAAGTTACTATCTGGAGGCCTCAAGTTACTATCTTCAGGCCACGAGATACTATCTTAAGGCCACGAGTTACTATCTTAAGGCCACAAGTTACTATCTTGAAGCCACGAGTTACTATCTGGAGGCCTCAAGTTACTATCTTCAGGCCACGAGATACTATATTGAGGCCATAAGTTACTATCTTAAGGCCACAAGTTACTATCTTGAGGCCACGAGTTACTATCTTGAGGCCACAAGTTACTATCTTGAGGCCACGAGTTACTATCTTAAGGCCACGAGTTACTATCTTGAGGCCACAAGTTACTATCTTGAGGCCACGAGTTACTATCTTGAGGCCACGAGTTACTATCTTGAGGCCACGAGTTACTATCTTGAGGCCACGAGTTCCTATCTTGATGCCACGAGATACTGTCTTTTGAGATACATTTTTTTTGACAAAGTGTGACTAGCGGGGCTGCGTAGAATCCATTAATTAATTAGCTGGATGACCTTTGGATGGGCTCCAGGGTAATATGTCATGACTAGCGGTTGAATGAATGACACAGTGGACATGCATTATTTATTTCAACAGTGTTTGAACTTGCTCCCCAGAAAGCAATTCAATTATTTTTGTCCTTATCAAGACCAAATTTGTTTGTGCTGGAGGTAATTTGCCATCTGAATGCACAGGGCAATAGAAATCAAAGTTATAATCTGTATTTATCAGTAGGAGAGCAAATAACTACAAGTATAGGGACAACCCTGACTACATTTTTCAGTAGTCTAACCGTAGCTCAGCTGTTTTCAATGTTTATTTTGCTATTTAATCCTGTCACCCTAATTGAAATCTTAATTGTTGTGGCAGATGCAGTGCTTATTATCAATTCTTAGGCCAACTGAGAAGGCTAATTTACCTTGGGTTCCCTCTGTAATTTCCTATGAATTTTTTGTGGCGATTTTTAATTTGTGAGTAAATTGAGGTCTGTTGTTAGTCTAAAGAGACTGTTGTCACAAAATACAGTCTCAAACATGAAATTGCTAAAAGATTTGCAGAGAACCCAGAGTAAATTAGCCTTATAAATAAAAAAAAAACACTAATCTTAAATCCGATAAAGAAACCCCTATCTTATATCTTTCATCATTCCATCATATTCCTTTATTCACGGTAGATGGTTTGACTGATTTGACTGGCATGTAATCTATTGATTGTCTGCAGACTGATGAAACATGGGATTTTGATTCACAACAAAATTAAAATTGCATCACATTGCAGCCATTTCAATTTCAAGTGAATTTACTATTGTAAGGAGGAGCAGACAGCAACCTATCGAAATCCAGTCGTGGTTTCATTTTTGTGACATGCAGAAAGATGTTAGTCGATTTATACTGAAATAGCATCCATCATGGTGACTTTATGATGTTAATCTTCTTTCTTACAAACCTCTCTAGAGAGACTTGCACATTATATGCTTCTTCCAACTCACATGTTCTGTGAGATTTTTGCCTCGTTTAATTTATTTTTAGATTGAGAAGATGGTGACCATTGATGATCTAAAGCAAATTAAACTGGCTTATGATGTAAGTATTCAAAATGTGTAGATTAATTGGAAATCTAATTTAATTAATTAATTGGACACAATATGACTTTCCTAATTCTGTTCTCTTGAGCAGGAGTTCGCAAAGGCTGGCATCCATAGGTTGGATTATTCAGAATTCAAATCTGTTGTGAAAAACTGCCCAGGTTTGAAAGGAGCTGTAAGTACTGTAAAAGCACTGTAATGAGAGGTTTATATATTCAGTTGCTATCTTGTTGCTTGTGTAAATAGATTAACCCAAGACCTAAAATCTTTATTTATGATTGCACAATCTTCTCTTTCTCTCTCACTGTCTTTCCACCCATTACTTTGGACTAACACTTTTTGAAACGTCACAGAAAGAATCTCACATTCACCAGCTATTCATGAAGATCGATTACACTTGTGATGGCAAAATCGAATGGGTATGAATGATTCACTGCTTCCTCTTTAAATCTCTAACTTGTTCTCTTAGACAATATGTTAAATGCACAGTTGCATCTGTTTTTGAGTCAAATTTTTGCATGTAAAAACCTTTGTGGGCAAGTGGTCAAAATGGGTCTCATTCAGTAACTTTAAATGCACATATTTGTGCAGGAATAATAGAAGACAGTAGAATTCATAACTGAAATTAAGTTTGCAAGTAAATGTATCCCTAATTTCCAAATTTGATGGACTTATAATGTTTTTTATATAAATTATATTTTTGTATTACGTAATGTATACATATTATACTAATTTTATCAAGCTATATTACATGTTTTCATAATATCATAATATAAAAATAATGTAGAATAATATTGATATCATTAATACAAAATATGTGTATTTACATGATTTGTGAATGAGACTCTTTACTCTTTATTTTATAATCTTTACCATGAAATATTGAACACAATTCCATAACAAATTCTATTAAAGTTTATTTAAGTCTTCCTCTCTGTCTTTTAGCATGAGTTCTGCACATACATACACCAGGAGAACGAAGCGAAGGAACAGACTGTGCGTCGCAGTAAAATGGCAGCCTTTATATTGCCGGCTAATATTAAGTTTCTAAAGCGTGGGAAGCCTGTTGTGAGAATCCACTTGCATTCTAATGGAATCGTTATGACTCTAAGAGAAGATGGGGTTGTTAACTTCTGGACCCCCAAGCTTTATTTGAGGAGCAAGAAGAATGTGTTTGTGGGTTACATTTACATTTGTTTATTCCTGTTCCTGGTCTCCTCCATTTTTTAATTAACCAATTTAATTTGAATCATTTCTGTGTTTCTATATCCAGCCCGAGAGATCCGTCAATCGAAAACAAAAATGGGCTACTGATTTTGTGCCAATGACAGAGTACAACAAACTGATTATTGGAACTGGGTAAACTGCTTTTAAAATACATTTATTTTTACATAACAGTTTTTATAATTCACTGTAGTGTATACAACTTTCTAATGAAGATTTTTCCCTGCATGCTGTTTCAAATGAAGATGAAGTAGTCAATTTGCAAGATGCTTTTATCCAAAGCAATTTACATTTATTACAGTGATGATTCCCACGGAGCAGCCTGGGGACTGCTCTGTTATTCGACTTAAGTATACCATGTAACTTTGTGTTCTTGGGGAAAAAACAGTTTTTTATATATAACAGCCACATCTGATGTCTGCCTTTCCTTCAGTCGATCCAAACAACATTCTCTCACTTTACAGATCCAGAGAGATCCAGTTTTATGAGCTTCCCTCTTTGGAGCCTTGCTGTCAGTTGAGTGCACTAGAAACTGTGCCTTTAAATCTGGATTACTGGTGAGCAGACCTGATTCATGTCAGACATGTTGACGTGATTGCTGTTTTGGAGTTTTATTTATGTTCAATGGTTTCAGATATGATTTTAGTAAAAAACAAAAAAACTGAATTTGCTCTGCATTTACAATGTAACATGATATTAGAAAACAGATCAAATAAAATAATAATGGTATGTTATGTTGACTCTTTTTTGTACTAACATATTTAAGAACAAGAACACACAATGCTCTTTGTTGATATGTCAATGTTTTTCGTTTTCTCATAATTAAAAAAAAATTTATACTCTGCTTTTCTTAGCTCTACAGGCCCAGATGAGTGTATCATTGTATATGGTGATTCTCAGGTAAACAAAGGCAGTCATAAACATATTAATTTCATGAAATACAATGTGTTTAACTAATCACTAAGCTTTTGGCACTCTAGGGCTGTGTGAACATCCTGTTAATAACATCGATCAGGGATAAACTGAGGTAAACAAGGTCTCTTAATAGTATAAATTTTACATATGCAGTTTTTGTCAAACAAAATCAAAATAGCATGTCATGCAGGCATGTTCTGATTTTCATAAATTAATGAATACATTAATTAGAACATTGATTCTGTTCTCTGGAGAGATGTGAAAGATTACTGGTATGTTAAGAATATTATATTACCTTGCTCACTGACACAGTGCATGATATTCATCTTATTTACATATTTTAATAAGCAAAAAACCAAACAGGCATAGGATCAGTCCTTTTTTTAAGTAAATGTTGTGCAGTATTTGTATTGTGCACTTTTTTAAGAATGCATTTATGTCCTAGATTGTGGAAAAGATTGCCACAGGTTGACAACGTGCCAAGCATAAGCCTCGACCATGCAGTTCGGGAACCAGAAATAACATTTATCAGATGGAAAGTCCATCAAGACTGGGTGTCAAAGGTTAAATATTTATTCATATTTAAACATTATTCATACATATTTTTTTTCTTCTTCTCATATACATTGCAATCAATTTTACTAATATCATATTTTACTAAATTAGTTTTTTATAATCATCTCCTTTTTTATAAAAGAACAAACACATGTCTAAAATGTAACAATATTTTATTATCAATTCAGGTGAAATATTTTCAAAGCATACCTGCCATTGTATCCTCATCAGGGGATGAAGACTCTGCCCTTGTTATAGGTAACATTTAAAATTGACTTCTATTGGTTTACTTTTTGCAGTACAGTGTGATAATTTTGATCATTTTATTTTCTCTCATTTAATAGGTTTATATGTCACACCAAAATCAAAAGGAGACATCAGAAATCATATTTTGCCTGAATAAAATTAAGCATATTTTTAGGACTATTCAGATTTTTTTGTTTACATTATTTCATGGCAGTTAAGCACATTGCCTTCCTCATTATTGCATTACAGTAATGAGAAGCATAATTAAAAATAATGAGAAATACAAGCAAGAGGGAAACATACAGATGCAAAAAGATAATGAGAATAGTGGTCGAAATGGGCTTAGAGCAAAAAAATCGTAATGATCCTAAAAATTACGTTCATTTTATTTATGCAAGATATGATTTAAGATAATTTGATTTTACGGTGGAATCTGACCTTAACAGTCATAAAAACCCATGTGTAGAAAATAGTGTAGAAAATCTCACTTCTTTCTCAGGGATGTCTGTTTAACATGGCAGTAGGAAGAAAATAGCAAATCTGGCGTCTTGCATGTTTAATGCCAGATGAGAGATATGGCAAAACTCAGTGCAATGAAGCTCCACTTAAACTCATTTGAATAACACACCATGACTCAGAAAGAGGGGGAAAGGGCTCTGAATCTGTCAGCTGTGATCTGTTTGAGTGGATATGCCTGTATGAAGGTTTGACAATCTGTTTTTAATTAGGATGCATTCATCCATCATCCTACATGCAAGAGCAGATGAGAAAGATGACAGAAGTGAGCGAAAAGGGAAAGTCTAAGAAAGTCACACAGAGGGCAACCAGCAACCAAACAATCTTCACCGTTCCTAAAGGAGTCATGGCCTTTGATTTCTGTGAGAAGCGTAATCTTTTCGTCACCGGCGGGATGGACAGGCTGTTGCGCATGTGGAATCCTGATGTGCCTAAGTATGCCTTATATCTTTAGGATATCTTCTTCGTAAGTGGCATCGCTCTGATTTTAATTCATTTGGACAATTTCTTCTCTGATCTCTATAAGCCTCAAAAAATTTTAAAATATAAATAGATAATACTGTGTTATCAATTACTGATGTTAAATGCCAGGCTAGTAATTTTACATTTCGAAATGGCAGTAGACCAACAGGGATTTTGAAAGGTCACGATGCCCCCGTTTCCTACCTCTGTATCTCCTCAGAAGATGGGCACATTTACTCAGTCTCCACAGACAAGACTGCTAAGGTGAGGAATTGATTCATTACTTAAAAAAAAACTCAAAAATCTTCTCAATATGTAAAAGCCAAACATTAAACTGAGCTAAAATTAAACTTAAAAGCCAAACCAAAAATGCAAAAATGTTAAAACCAAATGCAACATCAATAGACTGCACTAGCTACTTGTTTATTAATGCATAGTTAACCCAAAGATTACAATTAATTCACTCAACCTCAAGTTATTGTAAACTCGTATGACTTTCTTTCATCTATATCCTGAACACAAAAGGTTTTTTTTTTAAAGCAAATGCGTATCACTCTTGTCAGTTTAATGAAGGTGAACAAGGACAAGGCTGTCAAGCTCCAAAATGAGAAAAAAGCACCACAAAAAAATATGCACTGGATTCAAAGTCTAAAGTCTGAAATACTTAAATATACCCAGTCTCTCCTTATGCATTTATAAAAAAAGAAATGTCCAGTTTGTGAAGGAATCATTCTTTGAGTTAAATTGTTCTTTTCTATGAATCAGTTGATTCTGTTCACTAAACCGGTCTGAAAACCGGTCTGAACTGGACTGATCTTACCTACTCAATGATCCGAAAATGCTCCCGTAGCGTGAATAAACAGCCCATTCTCACCCCCAAGGCGTCACTTAACTGACGCCTTGGGAAGCATTTGGACATGCTTCAATATCTGACGCTTTAGGCGCCCTTTAGTGTCAGGTAGATGACGCCCTATGATCGCGTGTACCCTACCCCCACCCCACACCTAAACCTAACCGCGTCCTTTAACTGACGCTTTCCTTTAGTTAGATTACGCCGTAGGATCGCGTCATGTAAGTGCGCCTAAAGGGCGCCTAAAACGTCAAATATCGAAGCATGGTCAAAGGTGACGCCTTGGGGTGAGAATGCGTTGGAATAAATCACAAATAATTCAGATTAATATTATATGAAATATGACCAGCTAAAGTATACTGTAGAATACTATTTTTTTTAAAACGGTGTGAAAAGTAAAAATTATCATCAAATATTCATTTTTGACTTGTCAAAGCACACCTTTCCTTAGTAGCCTTACTAAAACTTTTAGTTATTCTTGATCAGCTGGCTGACCGTACAAATATTCATATCTAGTTAGCATTTATAAAAGGGAAATTACATTACAACACATGAAAATGTACCTTTTGTAAAAAAAAAAAAAGTTTTTGTAGCAAATCTCAATGGGCATGAATTGTCAGAACACCGGTCACAGTAAAAAGTCCACTAAAGTGAAGATTAACATGGAATAGTCTGTTCAGAATAGTCTGTTCATCAGTATAATTCACAAATACTTTTATGATACTATTACTATTTGAATCCTTTTCGAAGCTTGATAGCCCCAGTCCACATTTACTTTCATTATTTTGTGGGCAACAGAATATTGTTTATAATTCTCCATTTATGTTTCACGTTAGAAAGAAGATCATGGGTTTGGAACAACAGAATTTTCATTTTCTGTGAAGCATTCCTAGTTACGTGCAACATAAATATGATGACATTTTACTTACACATTTTTTTTTATAGATATGGCACATTAAGGATGAGACGTGTCTGTTTACTGCTGATCCAGAGGCAAGTAATATCCAGGGAGAATTGTCTGCGTGCTTCTACTCTTCAGCTGTGAAGGGGCTCTACATCGCCGCAGATTCTCTCTCCTTACTATCCCTTCAGACAAAGTATGTATCTTAGATGTTATATAACAAGGATTTCAAAGCCTATTATGAGTATCAGATGCTATAAGCCATTAGGTTGTATGTGTATTTAGCAACAATTTTCTCGTTATTTTGCTTCCTTTCTCCTTTCATATGCCATCTGTTGTAGACCACAGCCTAAGGGCAATCAGATTCTGTCCCATGAAGAGCCAGTGCTGTGCTGCGGATACAGTGAGGAGTTTAGGCAGGTGGTGAGCTGCTCTGAGGGCTCGGTGAGTGCTTTTGAGAAGTATCTGTATGAAGTACATTGAGGACGCAGATGCTCTGCCTTCATAGGTCAGTTTTTGAAAGAAGTCTCTTATGCTCACCGGGGCTGCATTTATTTTATTTAAAATAGAGTAAAAACATTACTATTGTAAAATATTATTGCAATTGAAAATCACTTTTAGTATATTTTTAAAATATAAGTTCCTCCTTTGATGGCCAAGCACATTTTTCAGCAATCTTGATCCGTCAGAAATCATTATAATATGCTGATTTGGTGCTCAAGAAACATATTGTTCTCAATGTTGAAAACATTTGTGCTGCTTAATATTTTTGTGGAAAACATAGTATTTTTTTCAGGATTCTTTGATTAGAAAGTCCAAAAGAAAACCAATTATTAGAAATAGAAATATCTTATTACAGTGTAAAATATTTGACTTTCTCTTTTGAGCAATTTAATGTGTTCTTGCTGAATGAAAGTATTAATTTCTTTCTCCAAACCATAAATAAAAACATACAAGTACTTCATACATCTTGTGTGCTATATTCCAGTTCTTATAAAGTCATATGATAGCTTTGTGTGAGTAACAAATTAAAATGTATGGGTACAGGTTTGTTTGTCTTAAGTAGGGTTTTTGGTTGACTACTTGACTACTCACAATCGCTTATTATTGTGAGTAGTCAAGGTTCCTTTAACATTCATTTTCCGTAAGATCCAAATAATTGATGTACATTTTTATCCAGAAGTGTTTTAAAAGTAATTCTATAATTTAAAATCATGACAAGCTGTGCTGTTTTTAGTAAAGCAACCGTCCCTCTTTTCTAAATGTAGTTCTTGAACGTATTTACTTGAATTCAGGTTGTCAAAGTCTGGGATGTGGAAACTGGAGCTCAGATGTTTGAGTTTGGAGGTGCTCATGAAGAGTCTGCTATTACCTGCATGGCTTTTGACTCTAGCGGAAGGAGGTTGTTAAAGCTAATTGAAATATATGACATTGCATATTATTACTGTTTTTGGCAGTGTTTTTTCTTTGTTTCTTTCTTTGTTTTCTTTTTTTACCAGGCTAGTGACGGGTGGAAGAGATGGCTGCCTTAAGATGTGGAACTTCAACAACGGCCAGTGCGTGAAGATATATAAGAGAGGTCAATAATTCCTTATAGTTCTTAACGTGCATTTGATTGATTTGCTTTGCTCCTGAGAATGACAGATTATTCAGAGTATATTATATCCCACATTCCCGATAAAGCTGTTGTGAAGCAAAGCCGTGCATTCTGCTTTTTTCCCAGATGGAAAATGTGCAGAGATTTGTGACTGCCTCTACCTGACACTGCACAGGAACGCGTAAGTCTCTGCTGACTGCAAGCGTCATTATCATCATGGATATTATTATCCTCATTTTTTGGCTGATTAACTTTTTTATTTCTTTTGGCAGATTTGTGATTTCTGTTGGTTGGGACCACAGAATTGACATTTACGTGGTGAGTATAAAGTGACCAGCCTTCTTCCCTTACGACCCTTTTTTTATATCAGCATAATTCCCTAGATGGCTCTCATAAAATGGTTGACTGCCATGACCTGTTTTCTTCCCCCTGGTACTCTCGCCTTTATTGCTGTTCACTACATTTCCATATTTCATTTACTTCAATGTTCCTCCCTCCTCAAAAGTGCTTGAGTGCTGTTTGGTCTGGTTTATTCCTCCATTTCCTTCTGACAGTCCATTATTCCATCTATTATAAGAGCTTTTGTTCACTAGGTTTTCTATCTATCTATCTATCTATCTATCTATCTATCTATCTATCTATCTATCTATCTATCTATCTATCTATCTATCTATCTATCTATCCATCCATCCATCCATCCATCCATCCATCCATCCATCCATCCATCCATCCATCCATCCATCCTGTCTCTATCTAGCCTGTCTCTATCCATCCATCCATCCATCCATCCATCCTGTCTCTATCTAGCCTGTCTCTATCCATCCATCCATCCATCCATCCATCCATCCATCCTGTCTCTATCTAGCCTGTCTCTATCCATCCATCCATCCATCCATCCATCCAGTCTTTTTTCTCTAATTACTAATGCAACCATTGCTTGGAAGTTGCTTGACCCAAATTGGCATTATCTATTTGTGTACTTACTGAGACAGCCTAACAGATGGATGGCCAAAACCAGTGAAATAGTTCTTTTCATATTTTATTCTCATTTGTATCATAATCTCTTAAAAATGTACTTTCTGAACTATCTATTTCTCGCCACCAAATTACATAAAATCAAGGATGGTGTAATTAGTATTTTAACTTGTTGGTCAGGTTGCCTTGTATTTGAATGGGCAATTCTTTGCCCGATTAAGCCACAATATGCACCAGATTTAGTAGTGATTTAATTTCATTCAAGAGGCTGTGAACAGAATAGTGTATAAAATTGCCAGTGATTACTTTTGAAGCTAAACACGTTATTTTTCTTTGACAGGACTCTAAAGAGGAAACTCCATACAATGAGAAACCAAAACCTTCTTGGCTGGACGATGTGGTATTAGCATCCTCCACAACTCACACCCATGTCTACACACATAGACTTTGAATCCCCTTCAAATATGCAGGGACACTTTGAGAAATGTGTTGAATGTTTCACACACAGAGGAATGGGCACAAAGTGGATATTCTGTGCATTGCTCAATGCACACCTCACTTCCTGGCCACTGGCAGCTACGATGGGGAGATCATCGTATGGAATGTAGTGTCTGAACGCATACTGTCTCGCTTCCAGACTCCTCAAGCGACCCCTCAACAGAGCAGCAGTTTTCCTGGTATGCCAATCGACCCATGAATTTTCAATAAATAATGATTTCAGATTTGCTGGTCCTCAATCAAATCTGTCATATAAAAACTTAGTATATGATGCACAACTCATTTGGACGACTTTTTTATATTGATAGTTCAATGCACAAGTGTGCTGAGCCTCATCTTCTTAAAGACCCGGGTGTTTGTTCCTGAACTGTCCTCTTCTGCTTGGCTTGTATCTTCAGATACTGAAGGTAAAGTGCTCCTTGCAATGAATAAAATGATAGAAATCAGTTAATGTAAAATTTGCAGAAGGTATTTCATCTCTTTCAAAGGTTATGTTCATTTCTGGAGTGTTCTGAATGGCGGGAAGTTCATCACATCTTTTCAGGCTGTAAGTTGTATATTTCTATTATATAACACGTCTTTCCTCAAGTTTGATTATAAATTCAATGTAGAAGGAGACAAATGTTCTAATTAAATCTTATGTTTAAGTCTCAGCATCAGCAGGCGATTATGAAACTGGCTTTAACGCAGGATGACAGCATGCTTTTTACAGCTGATCATGTCGGCTTCATCTACGTTTATGACGTCAAGCAATATGCCCTTGGGCCTGAACAAAACCCTCCTAAAAGTAAGGGCAGTCCTCAATTTATTGTTATTTTGTATGCTTTTGTTGAGTCTTGATGTGGTGTTTTTCATTTCTAGAGGTGAACTTCTGGCGTGCACACATCAGCAGCATCACTAGGTATGTTCAAAAAGTGGGGTTTATTCAATATTTTTTTAATAGTTCATTTACTCTTATTTTATGTATTTTCCTTTCATTTTTTTTTGTTTAGTATTTGTTATTAAAAAACATTATTAACATAATTTCCTCTCCTCAAGCTTAAAGACAATAGACAAGGACCAGTTTCTGCTTACCTCCTCATTGGACTTCTCAGTACGGTTGTGGAGTATCCATGGGGAGTTTATAGGTACATCTACAAGTTGCTTTGTTGTTTTCTTTTTTTCTTTTCTTTTCAGGAAGTAACAGTTGTGGCATGTGCCTTCTTTTCCCAATGTGCATCATACTAAGTATCATATTAAAATACTTAAAATGTACAGTACAGCATTTCCTGCAATACTTATTCAGCAGTTCAACAACAGTGCTACTAAATTCTATGTAACCAGTTTAGTCCGATTTCGGAATAATGACTCTTGAGTTGGTTCTTTTTCACTGAATCAAAACTTTCAGGTCAACCAGTGTAGTCCAAAACCTGAACAAATGACGCTATTAAATTATCTCAAAAGATAAATATTTGGATCAGTTACGTATTTGAATTAGTTTAATGTAGCTGAATCAATCAATCTGTTTGTCCAGCGAACACTCAGTATTGATAGTCTATCAATTCTCAGAAAGGATTTTTTCGTGGCCACAGAAAAATAACTATTTCTTAGCATGTATTGTAGCAAAGAGGGAGCAGAATCAAAACTCAGCTAGAAAAACGAAATCACAAACACATCACTAATCTAAAAAAAACACATGCACACAATACGCATACATGGGTTAAATGGAAAGTGAAAGTAAATGAAACCAGAAACAGGGAATGAAGTTATGGAAAAGGGTAATCTAAAAGAACCAGTTTTTTTGTTTAAAGCACCTGGATAGGGATTTATCGCTTATACTGAACAACCTCTGATTGGTTATGTAACTGTACAATACTTGCAATGCCTTAGCCATTGAACAAGCATCGAGATGCTGACTCAGGAGAAAGTCTTGATGGTTCAGTGAGTCTATGGTGTTGAAGATGCAATCAATTTAAAAAATCAAAAGTTTTTTTATCACCAAAACTCATTATATATTATATGTATTATTATTGTTATTATTACTGCAGATTTAAATCACAAATAACTGACAGTCATGATTTAAATCTAAATTTTAATTTACAAATATAATGCTAAAATTCTGAATTAGGAACTTATTGCGCAAGTCAAGCTACAACAATACAACATTTTGATGGATCACTGATTCAGTGAGTTGTTGACTCAAGAACTGCAGTCAGATTAGTCAGATTCATGAAAAAAATAGTTTGCAATTTCGGAACCAATTCAACAGGAATCCAATTCAACAATTTCATTGGAAAGAATTGGCTTGTTCATGAATCAATCTATCACTTCTCAGCTTGGGTATCTGGTGGCGATTTCTTCAGTTCAAAATAATGTTTTTTTTTATGTATGTTTTATGTAAAAACATACATTTTATGTTTTATGTAACATTTTATGTAAAATGTATGTTTTTTTTATGAAATGAAGTAGAGTAATGATTTTTTGCTTTGGAATGTAGTGAAGTAAACATTTCCCCAAAGGAAAAAAAAAACCTCGGAAAAAAAAGTGGATACTTGAAAAATGTACTTGTCAAAATCAATTTACAAAATCTGTCACGTTGACCATTGCTACAATACTGATAACAGATTATGTGACTGTGACTGCACCTTTAATAGACCTAAAGACTACTACTTGAAATGATAAAATAAAATGTTCAATTTGTAGGTTCATAAGACATATGCTATATATGTGTTTGATTCACTGAAAAGAACTAATTAGATTCATTCGTTCAGGAATCAAATGTATGATAACCTAAACTACATTGAACTCTATAGGTACATTTGGACAATCCGAGAGATGGAGCATCAACACACCATCTTCTTGGAAGCACCCGGCTGTTCCCTCAGAAATTCTCATTGATCCTTTAAGCATGCCTTCTCAACCCTTACTGGATAGAGAGAACGATCTGTCAGATGTCTTGGACTTGGAAACTAAAAATAAAAAGAGTGAGGTAAGATATTTGGATGAAGCCTGGCGTGGTTGGGGGTTGTTTCATAAAGCTCTGTTTTCTCCACGAATGGATCAGGTGGTGTTTCAGAGATTGAAATCTGGCTTCTAAAACAATCCTAATGTGCTTTAATTGCAGCTGGACATCCTCATCGATGGAAGTGACCCTCCATCAGTCCTCAAAGATAACTAATATGCACAAAGCAATTCCAGGTGTGTCTGAGCCTGGCAAGAGGTTAGTGTATATTTTAATTCAGACCAAGCACACATCTGAATGTTAACCAAGTCTCCTTATTAAAGAGTAACAAATAGTATTTTCTCCAATTTTTTGGATTCGCAGGCAGTGCCACACAATATTCAAACATACTGTAAGAACTCCAGACAGAATGGACAAGGACTACCACACTTTTGAGGACCTTGTTGTGAACCTTACAATTTAAAAAAAACAGATCTCTCCAAATTCCAATCCAACGATGCAGATGACTAGTCACGTCAAAGTCAGCGTGCTAAGATAAGGACAAATAAATTACACATAGAAACTTTCAAGGTGAAGAGTTGTTTTTCTTTAGATATCATCATGCACTTTTCATGTTTATTTTCCTGACAGTTAAATTTTTGGTACTGTATATAATATGTAATAGTCCAAACTTAAATAATACCGTTCCAATTCTGAAGAAGGTTTAAACTCTTTTTGTCCATATTTTCAATGGGGTCCAAAAGAACATTTTACATCATATATTTTGTTCCAAAGACAAAATTCATTGAGGTTTAAAACGACATGAGGGTGAGTAAATGATGACTGAATTAAATGGTTATAAGAGATTTGCAGAAAAACATGGATTAGACATTTTTAAAAGTGTTTATTTTATTGTGATGTCAGCTAAAGTTTCAGGTACAACACAAAGGAACAAACAACAATTCACTGTATCAACCAATTTCACAAGAACAGCTGGTACATTTCCACCTGCACAGTTTGTCAGTATGCGCTATAAATAAATTGCGAATTTAACATGACATATCCTATTGACTGCACAGCGAAAATAAAGCGAAACACTCAGGCGTATAGCAGCAGCCCTTGTACATCAATTTCTGAAGTTGCAAGCTATCATTTTAGTGCCAGTTTCAGCATGAGATTTCTTTTAGTCACTGCTTGGCAATGGCAGTTTCAGTTCCATTTGCTGTTGCTATTACATCTACATCTATTCATTTCTTAATCCAAAAAAGCAATATCATTTTATTTTTGGATTAAGAGATGTATAGATGTACCGGTAGATGTAATAGCAGTTAACGACAATAGAGAACAGCAAAAGGAACTGCGATTACATCTACATCTATTCACTTCTAAATCCAAAAAAGCAATATCATCTTATTTTGTCGTTCATAATCAGCCAATGGTCCGAGTCAAAAATTTTAGAAAGCAGACTGAAACTGTGGAGAGAAACAGTGGGAGCTTTAAATATTTCAAACTAGAGATGCTAAAGTACATGAAGATTATAACTAAGTTATCATGAGTATCATATCAAAATAAAAAAAACAAGGTTCAAATGTGCCTCTTAACATCAAATATAAGACACAAAAAAGCTCCCTTTGCCTCTGTTTGCATGACTGAATGAACAGCAACCACATGCAATTCCAATTACATTCCAATACCATAAGCTGCTAAATACTGACATGGTTGTTTTTTTGATTAATTTTGAACAAAATCAGTGTATTCCATCGTCACATCTTCTGGACGCTCTGGTTGAATGTTGTCGACCCAGGGCTTGGTTTTGTTGTTGAGTGCCTGGGGAATTATAAAAACGAAATGTTAAACAAATGCTAATATAATTGAATTAATTATAAATTAGGTTTAATAACTTACTAATTTAATCTTCAATGGCACCATTTATTTTCAAGTATTACAGCTGTATCTTAATGCCATCTTTTTATGAATGAAAGCCAGTATCACTCTTGATGTCTCGATGAAAATGATTCTCCCCCAAATTTTCAACATTAGGATTCCAAAAATATAAAAGCCTTTAATTTAACTGAACGTAAAACAATCCTCACTTAAACCCATAATAAATGTCATACCTGTACCATACAGAAATTGAATGAGGTTATAAAACAGTGCATAAATTATAAATGAAATATAGATTAATCCTTATCAAAGCTATAAGTGTTCTTTAGTCAAGAGCAGTTAGTAATTTTCTCTGTTCCCTTTGTTCTTTAGGTTAGCTTTACTCCATACTGGTCCGTGTCTTTCTGTGCGTTCTGTGTGTGTGTGTGTGTGTGAGGGCATTCACAGACAGCGTGTTCTCTTTTGTCTTGTCGCGCACGAGTGGTTAAAGCATTATGTGAATAAGAGCATGGTCATAACCCTAGCTAAAGGATGATAGATAGTGAGCCTACGTGTGACGTGCTACCTAGAAGCTTTGCGTAGTTTCACGACGTAAAATCTCGCGACCCACAGAGAAGAAAATGAATAGTTAAATAAAGTCGTTGTTTTTGTTTGTTTTTTTGCACACAAAAAGTATTCTCGTTGCTTGAAATTAGGGTTGAGCTACTGTAGTCACTGACTATTTTAACAATGTCTTTCATAACTTTTGAAGGAGTGATCTTAATTTGTGTTCCGAAGATGAACGAAAGTCTTACGGGGTTGGAACAACATTAGGGTGAGTAACTACTGACAGAATGTTCATTTTTGGGTGAACTAACCCTTTAATTGACATTTTTAAAAGGGTGTCTCAGGGAAAATATTAGAATTTTTATTTAATATCAAATTGATTTTTTCATATATCTGTTATTATGATCAATATCATCAGTATCAGTATTATTTTATTTTTTTTGTAGAGACAATGTTATCAAATAATTTAGAATGATTGTACACAATTAATTTAAATATTATTATGATTATTTTAAATTTTATTACTTTCGAGTTTGCCATGAAAAAGCTTTTGATGTTGATATGGCATTGCATGATAAATAAATATCATGTATCCCTATTGAATTTATTATAAAATTGGGTCAACTATAAGATAACCATTGATGCCTTGCTATATTTACAAACTCTAGTGTTTCACTGTCAGTTTAGAAACTTGAAAGTATTGCAGCATTTCTGATATTACTGTCTCCTTAGGATGAATTGTGGTGTTCGCATCCCTCATTTGTAAGGTGCTTTGGATAAAAGCACCCGATAAATGAATAAATGTAAAAGCAGACAATGTTTATAGTCAGTGATGTCACTGATTACTCCTCCACAATCGTCATATAACTCTGTATTTTGTCTGACAGCTCTTCAAACATTTTGGGTCTCCTTGTGAAGTCCTGGTATTTGTTTTGCACAGGCAAACCCAGTTTCTGTAGAATAAAACAAAAGGCTTTAACCCTTTGATGCACAACATGGGTCTAAATAGACCCGACTCAGTTTTCATTTTCTATATCTTTGCGAGAAATTAATTTCATCATTCAGTATTCCAGGTATTCCTCAATTAACTTGTTTTTGATCATCACAAATCCTTATTTTTATTTTTCCTTTCTTACTTTTTGAATAAAAATAGTTTTTGTATAGCAACCCCTCTAATGCGCAACATGGGTCTAAAAAGACCCGTATTCATTTCCTATGGTATTTCAGTGATGGCTGAGTGTTTTCTTTGCTGAATCTTTAAAATATATGTATTTTATAATTTGTTATTCCAGGTATTCATTAAATATCTTGTTTTTGATTTCCACAAATCATTGGGTTTATGTTTCCTTTCTTACTTTATAAACAAACACAGTTTTTGTATTTCTACATCAATTTTACATACATGGGTCTAAAAAGACCCGTATTCATTTCCTATGGTATTTCAGTGATGGCTGAGTGTTTCTTTGCTGAATCTTTAAAATATATGTTTTTTTTTTATCATTTCTTATTCCAGGTATTCATTAAATATCTTGTTTTTGATTTACACAACTCATTATGTTTATGTTTCCTTTCTTACTTTATAAACAAACACAGTTTTTGTATTTCTACATCAATTTTACATACATGGGTCTAAAATTACCCATATTCATTTGCTATGTTATTTCTGTGATGTCTGAGTGTTTCTTTGCTGAATCTTTAATTTAAAATATGTTTTTTAATCATTTCTTATTTCAGGTATTCATTAAATATCTTGTTTTTAATTTCCACAAATCATTATGTTAGGTTTTTTATTTATTTATTTCTACATCAATTTTACATACATGGGTCAAAAATTATTATTAATCTTATTTTATTTTAACCACAGACATTTTTTTATATATTGTAAAAGATTACAACATAATATCTCAATATTAGGCTATGGTTACCTTGACCTTGTAAACCTAGTGAGAAATTACTTGTGAGGAGAAACATGTCCAATACTATTAGCTAGCTAGCTGTTGACATATTCTAGCTAGCTAATGTTAACTATACACTAAAAAAAAGATTTTTTTTTTAAAGCTTATTTACATTTAGTAGGCCTAACAGTTCATAATCATTCATATGCTGAAATGATTCTTATACTGAAATCATTCTATGATTGAAATGATGCCCAGCTCTGCTAAAGACAGACAATTCAGCAGCTGGTGTTCCCAGAGCACCAGGCCTGTGTGCAAGGAGCACAAACATGTAGTTGTCATTTGTGAGGCATGTAAGCACTAAGATGGCAACTTGAGATGCCGCTGTACCAGTGTGATTTTATTTTTTCTGTTTTCTTTTCTTTGATCACATTCACCACAATTCAATACAGTTACACTACACCACAGTTCAATTTCAGTGTTATCAGTTATCAGTTATCTGTGACATGTGAATGCTATGCGAGACAAAGTGGCAAATAAACATTTCAAGTGTTAAATGTGTTGTCTAAATTACTTCTAAGATGATTAATTTAACAAAAAGTTGTCTTTATTCTTTTGTTTTATTATGCTTGATAAGTACATTTGATATAGTAACACAAAACCTAGAAAAAAAATGAAAAAAAAATATTTTTGGTAATTGAAAAAAATATTTTTTAAATATTTATAAATCATGAAATTTATAGATAATGGAATATTAAATGCTTAAATAAATTGATCTCAAAAGATAAAAAGAAAAGAAAAGTCCAGCCATGCATTAAATAACATAGGAAATGAATACGGGTTTTTTTAGACCCATGTATGTAAAATTGATGTAGAAATACAAAAACTGTGTTTGTTTATAAAGTAAGAAAGGAAACATAAACCCAATGATTTGTGGAAATCAAAAACAAGATATTTAATGAAAACCTGGAATAACAAATGATAAAATACATATATTTTAAAGATTAGCAAAGAAAACACTCAGCCATCACTGAAATACCATAGGAAATGAATACGGGTCTTTTTAGACCCATGTTGCGCATTAGAAGGGGTATCCATAGCTTGCGCATCAAAGGGTTAATACATCACTTTTTGCAAGCATGAATGCTTTTGTTTGGTTTGCAGTACACAGCATCCAATTAGTGCTCTTCCTATAAACTGCATCAGAGGGGTTTTGAAAGCTACACAAATGACTGGCCCAGCCTTTAAGCGAAGCACATGCCATCACAACCACCACGAGCTGTCAAGACAGCACAAGTCAATTAAACCACAAAACTGTGGTTGCATATCAAGCAGAGTGTAATGTTAACCCCCTGGGGACCAAGGTGTATTTGGGGTCCTTGAGGTGTTCTGGCATGCCCTGACATCTGTTCTTTTTTCAGTTGCTTATAATGGCACAGGTGAAATTACACTATATTGAGCACAAACAGGGCAACCATAATATATGAGCAAAATGTTTGCATTTTTGAGAGAATATTGTTTATGTGTGGTTATTGAAAAAACAAAAAATGAAAGTTTCTGAAATAAGGCCACAAAACACATACGAAATATGTGTCCACAAGACTTTTAAATAATTGATGTTGTGGCCTATAGGGTTTTTTTCTTCACAATGATCTGAAAATCATCCTCCCAAGATCGTTCACATCAAACTGTGAATTGGGTTATATTGTGAAAAACATTTTTTTTGTTTGCCAAGGCAATATGCGAATGGGCGTGAACAGGTCAGCCCCATCATGAATAATTAGGTGATTCTCACCTGAGAGAGACCCACATAATAATGAGTCAGACAAGAAAAAATTGAAAGGACAACATACATACATACATATCAAAATATAAATGAAAGTTAAAAACCCATTTTTAGTCATACCTGGAAACAAATCCTGGTAAATAAGGTTATATGGGCCAAAGAATTCGTTCAAAGTTAGAGTTGGAAACATCTTGAAAAGAAGATTCCATATAATTTCCATATAAAGTATTATTTTTAAAGTAGGCCATTTACATTTATAATTCATATTTCAAAGTTAATGATTCATTATTTTGATATATGCATAGCATTAGCTTGCATTGGATAACAGTTGATTTGTTTATTTTTGACAAAACAAACTACATATGAGTAGTCTTAACTAAAGCTTATTTGATGTATTTTATTGTAAAAACTTTATAATCTATTTCATCTGTGTCTGTCTATTTCTTTAGGCTATGCATCTGTGCGTTCGTCCATTCACACACCCGATTCAAAATTAAACATTATTTTTGAATTTACAGATCAGTATAGAACAAATCTCAGTAGTCTATATCGTCTTACTAATGTAGGAGCGAAACTGAATGAATGCCCAGCGCAGCGCACGTCTGTCTGTGCGCACATTTCATATTTAAACAGTCTTTGTGCAGTTTACAGACACTATTCAATAACGCGATTAGAACAAAGCACTTAAGAATAAATGACTTACATCAGCTGCATCCGTGTGCTCCTCGAAATGAAACGGGTAACTTCTCCAGGATCACAGTATTATTCCTCACACAGCACAGCAACACAAGGTAAAGTTAGATTTGTGATTAACTGGATGTTTTGGAAGACCCTCTATAGTTTATAATCATGTATTGATTTTATTTATATGACCATTAATGACTGAGTATTTTAAGTCTATGTTGCAGCTATGTGAAGAAAAAAAAAACTATCAAAGCACAGAGACTCGTTTTTGGTCCTCAGAGGGTTAAACCTATTGCAGTGTACAGGTCCTGAGAGAAAACAAAATCAATTTGTTACAGCACACAAAGGCTACCCTATGATCAAATGTGTTTGTTCATCAAAAAGGACAAACGACTGTATTTCTGCCAGCTTGTTAATGTACGTCTGCTTATCTTGGTCTGCTCCCTCATCATACAGCCAGTTCTCTGTGCTTTTCAAAAGCTCACCGAATGTCTGATGGTCCTGGAGAAAAGCAAAATCAAGCGCTTGCTTAGCAGTATTTTTATGCTGCATTTACATTCATGGTCAATTCAACTGCATTTCACCAAAGAGCTCATATGAACTACAAACTCATTTGAATGAGACTGTTTCATTTATGAACAAGGCAACGAGCTGAAAATGGCCTTTAGAGATTCAGCAATCAGGAACAGGCTTCTGAAACATGAAAACAATAAACAGGCGGTATGAATAATTCACAATCTATTGATAACAGTAACAGTTCCTGTGAGCTAAATAGATTTCATGTCACTCTACAGGTAATGGCTTTGTGTTATCTGGGAAAAGCTGCACGGAAGATTTCAGCCCTCCAGGTTGTGTCTGTAGTTATAGACATTCTCCTCAACTGCATTTTTAGCATTGTTATGCTCTAGTCTTGCTGTATCATTTTGCTTAGTCAGAAAAAAAGAGGAATTTAAGAGACCGCCAGATTGTGAGAATGACTGATGGATTTCTGAATAGCTTTGATACTCAAAAATCTTTATTTATGTTTATGGCTTCATACATTGTAAAGATACCAAAATGTTATTCTGCCTGTTGAGGAGACGTTGGTTTACCCAACTGTTGCCAAAGGATCGCCTCAGAACTTGCATAGAGTAGGAGGTACTGTTGACTAAATGTTTAACGCCACGTCTAAAAAGTAACAATAAGGGAAAGAGGCGGGAACCAGCAAGCATAACTTTAATAACAAAATAAACCAAACGAAAGTAAGCAATGGCCCCTCACGGACGACTGTCGCATATATTTATACAGTATATTAGAAAACATCAATGCAACGTCCCAGCCCTGGCCTTTTCTTGTCTTCCATTGTCGTCGCTGTCGGAACTCCTCCATGGAACTCGAGACCGGCGCGTGGCCCTGCTACACGTTACAATAAAGTTTTAGGATAAGTAAGTTAAGTTTTAGGATGTTGAAACATTTAAAATAAGTAATTTTAGGAAACAAAATGAGTAAGAGAGTATTTACGATCCAGCACTCTAGGTCGCATATGTATTTAAATTTCTTTTCAATTTTTTCAAACAAATTTTTTTAAAGGAATCTCTTATTTCTCACCAAGGCTGCATTTATTTGATCAAATACAATCTATGTACACATACTGCACGTCTATATCATCCATAAAGCACTGCCTCTGATCAAAGTCTATCCCTCCCAAATAAGGATCAATGGCAGTAGACAACACCTGCAAAGTACAGAGCATGCATGCACTGATGTGTGTGAAAATGCAATTTGGGAATCTACACAAGCCTCTTCCTTTGACTGAGACTCACTTTTAGTTTGCCTTTGTTGAATGCACAAACAGAGACTTGGAGTGCTGAGTGGCCCATGTCCACAAACGCCACAATCTTTGGATTCTCATCACAGCATGGAACATCTTCCATACAGTATATAGGCCTGTCGTAGTTTAAAGCCACTGCCTGGAATGATAAATGATACTGTGAGTGTGTGGACATTGCTTTAGACGAGGCAAAGGCAATTGTAGAGTTTCATTAGGATACCTGCAGTGTTGTCATTTATTAGCTTTGGGCCGTTCTTGGCAGCATCCAGACCTCCTTTCTGAATCAGTGAAGAATGAGGGGATCTATTGCCTGGCCAAAGAAATAATACAAACAAACCATCGGATTGGTGGCTTGCCCATTAGTGGTTTACATACAAAATAAAAAAAGGGCTGGTTAAAATGTGCTGCTGAATGAAAGCGAAGCAAGGCTTTTACTTTAATATATCATGATGACAAGCCTATAAATTACAAACATATTATCATGTGGGAGAATTTCTAATGACCTAAACACCTATATTTCTGGAACATGTCTCTGGTATCTATTTGAGACACACACACACACACACACACACACGCACGCACACACACACACACACACACACACACACACACACACACACACACATACACTATTGTTCTATATACACTATTCAAGGCTCCAGTGCAAAAAGTATAGAGATGACTCACTCCACACTTTTGCCTCTGCGATGTGTTTCATTTTGGTCAGCAACATGCTGTGATCTGCTCGATGCTGATGTTCCTTGGTAAATTACATGACCTAATCAAGACATTTCATGTCAATATTTTACTCTTTCATTCAACGACAACCAGTCTTCGCAACTTACAGGGGCAGGGCAAATAAACAAACACAGTGTTTACCTGGAATCTAACCTTCGCATAATTTAGTGCTACCAGACAGTTCAAGTGGTTGGCCGAGAGAGCTCAGCGCGCTGCAACTGAAGAAACACCCGCAAATTAAAGAAAACATCTTTATCAGTATCACAACACACTTACTTTGTGTTCTCAAAATAGCCTAACGTTACTCACAACACAACCAAATACAGAAACGCGCTGCAAAAGTTCAAAACACAACCAAACACATAAACACACTGCAAATAACACAGACCACGGAAATGTTTTTAGGGGGTCCATGAAACGTCTTTTCGGCGAGCTTTCCAGAAACTTCCAAACACAGCAGGAGCAGCAACGGGCAACGCCACAGCTGGGTCTAGTCCACTCCGCGCGGTGTGATTGCGTTGACATTTCCAGAGCTTTCGGTACCGAACTCCACGCGGAGCGTCCGAAGGGTTGCTGTGGTAACCGTGCGAGAGTATTCATCTGCGCTACAGCTAAATATAGCACACATCTATTGATTTCTTGACGTTATTTTAAAGTTACAGAGAGGAACGGCTGTTCAATCGGTCAGTAACGTTACACATACTAAGCGTGAAAAAGACATACATTTTAGTGGTGAGTCGTGACTATTAAATATGTGTTTTAATATAGGCTGAAATTAGATCGATGTGTTTTTAGTCATGTAATTTATTGGGGTTGTGATCAAAATATGCTGGTTGACATTTTAGTTGATTTTATAACTGAAGCCAAATTATGACGTGATTATTCACATGTTCTGTCATCATTTGCCATCTTTCAATGAACGGTAATGGTAAATGAAACAGTCTTTCTGTCTTTCACGGAAGCAATTAAGGCAGCTTTTGATCAACATATATAGATAGATAGCTGTAACATTTTTGTCAGTTTCATCTGGCAATTCTGTCCAACTATCCCATTATATAAACATTTGAATCGCACTTGTAATGGTAGTGACAAGCACTGCCCATTTTGTTGTAGTTAGCGATGTGGCCACTAGAGGCCGCAGCCGAGGCGCGCGTTTAACAGGAAATGTCCTCGCAAAACAAAGCTGTGTAATGATCGGCGTGCACTGTACTAGTGAGTGAGTGTTGGATAGAAGATCAGTGCAAACATTCTGCTCAAGCGAACTGGTTGTCTGTGCTATCCGCGCTTCGTATTACTATGCTTCCCATACACTCTCAATACGGATACAGTGTTGCTCAATATTTCTTGCTTTTGTCGCTTGGTAAGTATTTCTCTACTCATATAGCCTGCCTACCAAAATGAAGTTTTTCAGTTCGAGAATCTTACATTTATTTCGTTTGCTGTTTGTTTGAAAAAGGCAGCAGTCGGATGTTTACTTCTTTTACTTATGGAAAAGCATATGCTGAGTATAACCGTTATTAGGAACAAGGGTATAGCTTGACACTTCCTTCTTTTTTTTGTAACAGCTTTTTTGCTCTCTGTCAAGTTATGGGGAATTCTTGAGACTGATCTTAACAACTCTATTTGACAGTTGAATGAATTAAACTCCCAAATCTTTGAAGGATACATGCAAACTTATTTGTCTAATAGATTGAATGAATAGCTGAGCTGCCTACCTACCTAGACAACATTTTGGGCATCATATCTTTGCATTTTAGGTATCATCATTGATTGTCTCTCGAAAACCTAATGAGCTGCCAATCTTGACAAATTTTTTTTGAGCATTATAGATAGGTTTGATAATCTGTCTGAAAACCTTGTGTGTTGCTTGTCTTGACATCATTTTTGGGCAACATGAGTGTAATTTACTGTGAGTATTTAAGCTGTTGTCTTGGTTAAAAATTCATTGAACAGACTGACAACAGTTTGGAGTAGATGTGTGTAAATGTGAAGTATTGTTTTTTTTACTGAAACCTTTTTCTTCTCACCCTACCGAGGCTAGTTGAGGTCTTGTGCCAAGCAAATGAGTTATGTTACATGTGAGCACCAATGCAGATCCATTTGAAATAATGTATTGATCAGTGCCATATAAGACAATTTAATATGGACATTCGTGGATATTGGTACATGCCAGTCACGTAAATGCAGTTCAGGTTGTTGGACTGAGCATGCCATTCATTTGTCTTTTGTATAGATCATGTGGGTCCTAATGGCTAATGGGTCTGACCACCTGAACCACAGGCAAATGTGCGCTGTCTGATAAGAAGTATTGTCAGTGCCCCTTATTTTCGCCACTGGTGCATAATTTGCTTCTTCTCAAAGTGCCTCAATTTGTTTTGCCAATTTGTTGAGATATACAGAGAAAATAAACTCATATTGAGGGTTTCTTTTAAATTCAAGAATTAGGCTTTGCTGAAAGATCTCACGTTCATGGAATTATTGATGTGCATTACTCACATAAGATATACCTCGGTGTTCAAGAATGAGACTTGTAGTTGCTAATATCATGAAGGACTGGCCTAGTTTTAGTAGTACTCGCACCTGCAGAGTTCAGCAGTTAGGATGACCCTGCTGGCCAGGAGCACATGTGAGAGAGTTTCAGGTCAGTTGACAGAACTGGCACCTGCTATTTTGGGCTAGTGGTTCGGTATCACTACATCTTACATTTTCCGACCTTGCCCATATGAGTTTAGATCTGGCGGATTTAAACATGTCATATCAGTCTAGCTGAGTAACATGCGGTTTTGTCCAAATTGCAAGGATTATTATGACAGTCTTGAAAGCATCATTTGGAGTATTAATGTTAAAGACAAATTACAAACCCATTTATTTAATTTAGCATTTTCCATTGTTTATCAAGATAGCCATTATGTTACATTATAGCTCTATTATTTCTAGTAGAAAAACAAAATAATACATTCTATATTGGACATTTTGTGACAAAGAAACAAATGGATGACATTATCACAGTAAGATTTTTATGGAAAAAAATATAAAAACGTATATTTTATAAAAATAGAATGCAAATAAAATAATACATAACAATGTCATTATTGCAAATCAAAACCTAGTATTTTTGTGACGAAAATGCAACATTTAAAAGAAACAAATACTATCTCTGTAATATTCTTATGATTTTTTAAGTGCAATAATACAAATATTTTAAAAAGAATAGAATATTTGTTGTTTTCTCAGCCAGTTGAAAACATGGCAAGTGCAGATCTCAACTAGTGTCACAACCAGGCCCAACTGTGGGGAAGAAATAGCCTACTGTTGATCTTAAAATATTTTGTATTTTTCTCTGTAAAGAACTTTTTGTTTAAGAGTTTTATGAAGATATGTATGTCAAGATATCAGCACTGTCCTGTTGTATTATTTATGATGTTGTACAGCATAAAACTTTAACAGAAAACATACCATTTGTGTGAACCTGCAGGCAGAAATAATGATCAGTCAAAAGCCTCTGTGGTTTTGCTGTCCGTCACAGATAAGCCATTTAATGTGCATCAAATATGTTTTTTTATGATGAGTTATACTGCAAGATTTAGAATAATTGCAGGCATTTTAATTCTTTTCCACATATTTTATTCTATTCCATTCCCATAGAAGTGATTCCATTGCTTGAGTCAGGAGGCAGTTTAAGCTTGCAGTTGTGAAAGATAAAAGTGCTGTTTACACCTGACAGTTAAAAAGATAAACCTACAAATCATCGCCTAAGGTATGCAGGGAGTGCAGGAGTCCATGGATGGCTTGAAATCACCTTGGCGGTGTGAATACCTGCGCTCTGTTTTGCTTATCAGTGAGAGGCAGTCTTAGGATTTGGCTTGGGATTCACAGCCATGGGAGATGGAAACAAACTAGGCATTTATGATGAGCAAAGAAATGCCAATGCATGCTCGTTTTCTTTTCTCCCAAGTCCCAACTTTCTAACTTGTGCTAAAAGGACGTCTCTTCTCTTGGTGTGACATCTCTTCTCTTCTCTGATGACATGTTTACTGGTGTGAGGGCTGGACAACTTGTCACTCACATGAGGTTATAGACAAAATCAAGTCCTGTCCTGGCCTACATTTTTTCTTGTTCGAGAAGCCGTTTCACTCGCATACGGCACAACAGGGAAGAAAAGACTCTCGCAACTTGCGTTTCATATCAACTTTAATACTTAAAGGGTTAGTTCACCCCAACATGAAAATTCTGTCAGTATTTACTCACCCTCATGTTGTTCCAACCCCGTAAGACTTAAGTTCATCTTCGGAACACAAATTAAGATATTTTTGATGATATCTGAGAGCTGGATCACTCCTCCATAGGCTTCTTGAGGGATTGAAACTTGCCGGCCTCGAAAAGTTATTAAAGACATCGTTAAAATAGTCCAAGTGACTTCAGTGGCTCAATCTTAACGTTATCAAGCAACGAGAACACTTTTTTTGCGCAAAAACAAACAAAAATTAAAGCTGCAAGCAGCATTTTGCGGGGTTCAAGCAGTTTAGGCCTTTAAGGCCTTTAAGCACAAAAGCATCAAAAGACATTAAGTTTTATGTAGCAAGCATTATTTACCATGATAAACCATATTTCAATGTGATTTTTCATGATTTACCATGTTCTAGTATGATTTACCATGAATCTAACATGAGTTTCCATAGTTTACCTTGATATACCATGTTATAGGATGGTTTACCACAATATAGCAAGTGAAAAGACTATTAATAAGAAAAGTGGCCAGCAGAGGGCAGTAGAAGACCACTTATTGGCACACTTCCATTTTGAAATACTTTGTTTCTCCAATATTCTGCACTAAAGCAAACCATTTTTTTCATGTTAACTTCATAAAGCATGCTTACACACAAATGCACGCACACGCACACACACACACACATTTATGCTTATAAGTATAACACACCGTTGCCATGAAAAACAGAGCGTTGCCATTGATTCTAAACGTAGAGACAGAACGGACTATTTTTCTTTTTTATCGGCAATCGTTTTTTTAAATCAATAAACTCCTGTTTATATCTATATTTTGAGTCAAATTATTGATTTACTTGGTAGGTAGCAATGTAATAAGCAGATGAGCAGCTGAGCGTCTATTCATCGAGCCAACGTGCAAACATCGCAAATAAAAGTGAAAGTAAGTCACAGAGGCTTAACACACAATCATCTTCAAGTAAAGAAACGAAATTATCTTACCAGCGCTGTTGCCACTCTTTTATTGATGTCTTTGATTTGGAAATTAGCTGATAATCAACGAAATGCAGCTCAAATCTGTTGCTTTTGGTGGCGTGCAAAATCCATTAAATCTGCATATAACGCAGGAGGTGAAGATCGGATTTATATCCGTTTTGCAAAAACACATTTATGTGGCCAGGTGTAAATGGAATCGGTACTTATTATCCGGATAACTTATCTAGATACAGATCGCATTTTAATACCAGGTGTAAATGGGGTCTCAGTTAACAACATAGGCTACTGCCTATAAAAATCTAAATAGAGTTTTTATAATTCTGACATGTTAAACAACCTCAATTATTTTTCCTGAACACCATCACGATTGAAAATGTGACATTGATTTCCTACAACAGTTCAATAAACAGTAAAAATGAAATCACTTACATTTTAGATGCTATATTGGCTGTTTTTGTTCTGTTTCAGCAGCGAAAATAGTTCCAAACAATAATCACAGCAGGTAGCAATGTAATAAGCAGGGTAATGTAGAGCGAGGCGGTTGTTATAGCGAATACAAACCCACAGGCTTTGCGTAATCCCTAACTTATTCTGTCTGTTAAGCGTCCTCCACTGTGGTGTTGGGGTTCATAATGTTCACAATTGTATTTTATTAGTTGTTGGTTTAACCATGGTTCATGAGGTAATGGCTGACTGTTATTTTCTTCTCAATGACTTTTCTTGTTACATGTTCATTGCTGGATTCATAGAAAAACATCAACCAATATTGCATACTCATAATTATTATAATGAATATAATTAAAGAATTCATACACTATAATACACACAAATGCACGCACACGCACACACACACGCACACGCACACACACACACACACATTTATGCTTATAAGTATAACACACCGTTGCCATGAAAAACAGAGCGTTGCCATTGATTCTAAACGTAGAGACAGAACGGACTATTTTTCTTTTTTATCGGCAATCGTTTTTTAAATCAATAAACTCCTGTTTATATCTATATTTTGAGTCAAATTATTGATTTACTTGGTAGGTAGCAATGTAATAAGCAGATGAGCAGCTGAGCGTCTATTCATCGAGCCAACGTGCAAACATCGCAAATAAAAGTGAAAGTAAGTCACAGACG